AGATGTTTTTTGGCGAGCTGGTAGTAAATTAAAGATCTATATATGTTAGATATCGCAAATTGTGCCCGGAATACGATGGTGTTAGTGAAAATTGGCTGCTATCTACAGAAAAAGCATCGAGAAAAAGAAACAAAAAACCCCTTTCCGATCGAAATATCTCGAAATCCGTATTAGATAAGAACAAAAGATCCAAACAAAAGCTGTATAGAATTACATTTTACACAAAAAAGCACTGACGACTTTTATCTTATTTGACATGAATAAAAAGTTATGTGCGACTAAAGCTCTAAAATTAACACTGGTTTTTAAAAGAATGATTACAATAAAGATTGTTCCTTTTTAAACAAGTAACATTGTTCATAAAATAAATTTTTCTCCATACTATGTATAATAGTTTTATTGGCTGAACGATGTGTTTATCAAAATAAAGAAAGTTATCTATACAAGTAGACATTTATTTTTAAAAATGAATTACAGCTCTTATCGCTGGCTTTTAAATTACAGTCAAAAATGCTATTCGACTTATTACCTAAATTTCAATATTTATTTATTATTGTCCGTAATTAGTAGGGCTTTTTCACCTGTCTACATGGGCCTCTTGATCTCTTCTTTTACTTACCGCATCCTGTCTTTTTTATTTTCTCTATCAAAGTATGTTGTTTCACTTGGACTTCTACTTTTAAACAGCTGACACATGCGCAGTTTTGCATGAGCGCGACTAAAACTGATACATATCTATATATCTCTCTTTGTTGCTCACAGTAGCGCTAAAAAGAGAATATTTTTTTAAGAGAGTTTTTACTGTCTTTCTTTCTCTCTTCCCTCTCTGTAGATGGCAATGAATTTTCACTAACACCATTGCATTCTGCGAAAAATTCCCGATTCCAAGCGTATATAATTTGTCAATTTGCCATCAGCTTGCCAAAAATAATCTTTTTCCTGTATTGCCAAGACTATTAGGATCAAAGCATTTCAATTCAAGTTCATAACTATTTGATTCAAAAAAAAAATGCATAAAAAATTGACAGCGTTACAAGTGATTCTAGCTATCACATAAGCTATTATCTAGCTGGTAATCTGTTAAACGATTCTAGAATAGTTGTAGATATAAATTTTTGAAGAGTATAAGTGGATACTCATCAAAATATTTATGCTATAGAAAATTCCTCGTATCAAAGTAAATTGATTTCATCCGAGTGACCTGTATATTGAAGTACAACAAAATAGACGTGACATTTTTTTAAGTAGACTAAGATTTGGTTGGAATTCTTCAATCAAATATCCAATACCTACAAATATTGAAAATGTTCAAAACTAACATAATATAAAGTATTTGCTAAAATCATACAAAACTTATCAGAAAATTTTCTTTTTTTTTCTATCACTATGTTTAATATTGGATGAAGGAACATTGTTATTTGTATTAAAAAATACATCGATATAAGTTTGAAGCTTTAATTAAGATTCTAAAATTTACAATCTGCAAAGTTATTAACCAAAACTGATTTAATAAATTAAAAATATATTCCAATGAATGATGCAATATTTTTTTAAAAAAGTTTAATAAGTTTGAGAGAACAAAGCTATTTTTATCTTGAAACTTCAATAAATTTGGGTGGAAAATTCAGCAATGAAAATAAGCAATGAAGTGTAAATCATTTAAAAGCTTGAAATATAACAAAGATAAAAGTAATAGAATTTTTTCAATAAAAGTTTTAGAAAAAAAGAATGAAAGCTTTTATTTGTACCCTTTTTATCAAGATTTATGAAAAAGTAGTTTAAAAAAAATAATCTTTTATGTATTTGTAAAAGGGAGTAAATTTCAATAAATTCAGAGGATCACTCAACATTTTTATATTGGTATCCTTAACTTTATTTGAGACCTAGACAGGTATGTGTAAGGTTGCTCGATAAATAACATAAAAAGGCCACAACGAAGCCAAACAACTCTTTTTTATTGCCATTCAACGTTCACTCGATTCGTTTTTTATTTTATCAAATTTTCTTTCAAATAGCTCTATATTTAATTTACTGAAAAAAAATTTCTGAAATACCTACATTAAAAGATAAAAATGACATCGCAAAGCATAAAATATTTAAGAGTAATTATGAAGTAAAGTTGGTAGCTTATAAAAAAAATTAAAAACCGGAAAAAATGGCTAACTTTGGTTGGCATAGTTAATTTACATATTTTTACCTTAAAATATAAAAAATGTATTATACTTTCTACATGCAATATTAAATCTTAAATAAGTAGAAAAACGAATTTATATTTTTATAAAATTTTCTGAAACTTAGAATATTAACCAATTAAAAATGTCTGAATGCACAGTAAAAGTTGAATGTAATTATTTTTAGATTCATTATTGTACAAATGTTACATTGTATGAAGTAAAATACACGTGTATGTTCGGCTTGTGGGTCATTTATCTTAATAAAGTTACTCATGTGTTATTGTGCGAATAAAATTTTCAATTATGTTTCAATTTATTTTATCATATTTCAAAGGAAAGAACAAAGATTTAAAACTTTAGTAAATATGGAAACATCAAATTTTGTGTTTATTTATTTTTGCTCTGCAATCACGTAAAATTAAAGTTAAATAGGCGTGATGACCCACAAACATTCTTAAAGGGGTTGTATGGCAGTTTACTGTAAGAACGATTCCAATATTGCAGCTTTAATTTCATTTCATCTAATATTAAAATAATCATATTATTTCTAGGTAAAAATAAACATAAATTTATGGCTGGTAATGATACTTTGAAAGTATACACACACTACTTTACTACTTAATATAGTCAAGACAATTTTCTACCTTCAATTTCATTTTCTAGTTAAAATAAGTCAAAGTTTCTTTTTAGAATTTTATTTTATTTCTCATGCTTTCCAGTTCTAGTCAATCAAAAGATGTCTAGGTTAAAAGAAACTTCTATTATTTCTTTTTATAGAGAAAAACTTTAAATGAATAAACATTGTATTGATTTTAAAAAAATAAAACAATCAGTAATATAACTATTCTATGTTTATAATTAATTCATGTTCACATTTTACAATATTCCTATTAAAAGTGCACTCTAAAAGCAATTGAAACAGTTGTGGTTACTATCATGCATTATTATCTTAATAAACTTTACATAATTAAGTCCTATCCATATATAATTAAAAAAAAGACTCAGCTATAAAATGTTTAATTTAACAGTATTTCATGATAGTAAATGTAAATATTTCAACATCCATTAGTAAAGCTTTGTATCATTATATAAAAATTGGTGATTATTTGAAAAGCTCAGCCAAGATAAACATTAAGCAAAGGTAGAATAGAATTTGTCTTCATGGGTCAATGAAAATATCAACTTCCAATCTTAATACAAGTTTTAGATATCTATTGTCATGACACTACCACTATCTAGTATATCTATCAATCAAATTACCGTGTTTAATTCGAGATATGTGAAATATTTGGATTATTTCGTATGAATTTGTATAGAATATGTTTACACATTCTTTCGATGGCATTGAAATTTTCTATTACGTAAGGATTTGAAGCCATAACACAAAATTGCATAAAATTTATATAAGCGTAATATTTTAATGATTATGGTCGAAGCTCGATATACTGAAAAATGATTTTCATTACTAGCAATAAATATTATGTAACGGATATATGTAAATTTATCTTTAGATAAATAAAGTTTATTTTTATTCAACGAAATAAATATGTGTTTAGTAAATACTAGGGGTAGTTTTAAATCAATTTACAAAATTTTATGAAAAATTGTAATTTTATTTTAGTATTAAAGAGGGTATTTTATATTCACATGATATTTATATATTCAATTTGCAATTTCAGATTAAAATAACATAAAACAATGTAAAATTGCAACTCATAAAACGCATGACCGTAAATAAAATAACGGTCAGAATGATATCTCACAAATGAGATTGAATTAGTTCAAGTTCGTAGAACTAATTATTATAGATGAATTTTCCACATTATTTCATTAATATTCTTTCGATTCAACTTCATCCATTGTATCGAAATCATAAAATTATTGTATCCATCAATTGTTCAAATTTGATTCTTTTAAATATAGATGAAATAAATAGACAATTGATAATTAATCAGTAGACAGTAGAATGTTTATTTAATGATGAAAAATCTAACGATCAATCTAATAATTAATTTAGGAGGCATCCGTGTTCGTATTTGAGAAGCGATCAGTTGAAAAGTTTCACAAACCAAAGCATAAGGAAACTGTAACAGAAATTCTCCGTAGATGTCCAAGAAATCTAGAGGAATTTCGACATCCTAAATTACTTCAGGTGATTTATTTTCTCGTAATTCACAGGATTAAATTCTGTCCTGTAGAGAAGAATGAGAAGATGGAAAATTTAATTGAAAACTAAATCACTTATTAGGTCATCCATTCGGTGACAGAATGTGCGGAAACATTGGCTTTTGCTACTGAACCTGTAATAGCAAGTTTGGCCAACGTTTTAGCTTATAAAGAACAACAATCAGCCCCTGCTGCTAACTCTCATGCTAATTATACGGGAGCACAGTCAAACCTCCAACAGCCGCCAGGTCATCGTCCAATCCTTGTTAAAAAATATGAAATGGTTTCAATGGAAATTAAATATGGCCTACTTCAGGTATGTTTCCTTTATTGATATTTATTGTTTCATTTACTACTTATAATCACTGAGAACTAGTATTTATGCAATTATACAAAATGGTGTAATTATTTACCCAGACAGTTTTGCTTGAATTAATCAAGGTAGTGTTATCTGAAACATTTATTATGTTTTTTTTAAACACTCATACTATTTTTCGTTCTACTCGATTAAATACACCATGTGTGAATTAGTTAGAGGACAATTTTGTTGGTAATAAAGTTGCTGAATTCTAATTAGTAGAGATTCACTAATTCAGTTATTTTCGGTTATTCAGGTGGTCTCAGACATGTAATCAAGAATGAGTAAAACCCTACTAATTAAAATAGAAAATTGCTAAACTAATTTGATGAGCTTTTTAAACTGTCAAATTGATTAAAATGAAATCTGCTGTGTAATTAAATTTTGTTACAAAATTTATTCAATGAAAAATGTATGTTCATTCCTTATGAATTCAATTAAAAATATTTCATAAATTAATAATAAAATATATATTTTGTGTTTCGATGAAAATTATTTTTTGAATTTATTATACACAAACTAGAGTTGATAATCGAGTCATTAAATTTTTTATATTCAGCTTTTATATTAGACTAACAATTTATTCATACTACGAACAAAACTAGTTTGAGTTGAATAAATATTTTATTGTTGTTTTATTCTTTTTTCTTCAATAAAAAAAATTCATAATTTACAAAAAATAATTTGGTATGGTTCTATTTTGCAAATATCAAGTATTGAAAAAAATATTATACTTCAGTGTCAAGTTGATCGCAGAAAAATTATTCATATAAATATTTCAAAATGTAATGCTACCTTCAAACTATACTACTCAAAAACTTTTTACATGAGATACAATCCTTGACATCTTATAAATTATTTTATATGCTGTACTTTCTACTATAAAATGCATTTCTCTATTTCTTTCGCATTTTTTTCATGCATTTATTTGTCATCTAAAGTTTCTCAATACTTGCATTATAGATCATCGAAGCACTCTCTTTTCTTCAATGCAATTGTATGGTCATCCATAAGAATGTATGCCCCAGCAGTATTATTATCACTAAAAAAGGAACATGGAAGTTATGTGGCCTCGAGTTTATAGGTAAATTATGAATTTAGTACTCTCAATATGTTTGAAGTTTTAGTGGAGTTTCTAATAAAAATGATTTATTGTCACTTCACCAGAACGAACTAATACAAATGGCTTGGAACCTATTCATTGTCACGCGTGGACCAATAAAGTGTCAAAAATATGCCAACCAAATCTTGACTATATTGGTAAATAGAATAACATTATACTTTGAATCAAGCAATCAGAGTCAAAATATTTATTCTAACTTAAAACTTGTCATCTTTAGGGAATTCACAAATTTATATACAGTTATGTTTAATTTAATTCTGAAACTCTTGGGTGTGTCTGAAATCAACGCTTATCGAGCCAAACTATTCCGTGGAAATATTGTCTAAAATTCGATTAGCCAATGTCTATCATTTCTAGATTTATTACAAAATTTATTTACTGAAGACAAAAAATTTTTAACTCGAGTTGTTTGACAGTTTGGATGTTTATAATTGTTATAATCTATTCTCAGGTTTATTGTTGATTAAAAATAGTTTAATTCAATTATATATCAGTTGAAATAAAGCATTGATACAGTTTATGCAAAAAATAGTCCTGATTATAAATTCAGATGATTTTTTTTATAATTTACACTTCTTTTCCATGTAACATGTTAATCTGATGTACTAGTTTTTATTCATTTAGTCTATCGTGAATTTGAATTTTTATTACTTTTTCCAAGTTTAGTATAAATTTTTTGAATAAAACACGTAAGCTTCAGTATTATTTGTCTGAATGAAAACAAATCAAATATTTTGTAAAAATAATAAATATTAAAAATTTACCCTGAAAATTTGGGTCAGTGAAACATTGATTATGTAAACAAAATGAAGGAAATGAAAATAATAATCGAAATTTTATAACAAATAGTATAATGTAGTTTCGTTTCTACATTTTCAATGTATGATAAAATATATATTACTAAAAACAATTACAATCAATTTGTGTCAATAAAATAGGATATACAAGAGATATGGAATAAAGAAGTTTTATTTAGAATAAAAATTTCGACTCAGGAAATCAATTTTTCTTATCAACGTGTTGTTGAAAATTTATTCATCGTATTCAATTTAGCTCCGGAAATTCAGCTGACAAAATGCTGCAGCGTTCGAAGTGACATGTTTAGCCTTGGAATGGTGATTGCTGCTATCTACAATGACGGTAGATCTCTAATTCAAGCTAACCACAGTAATTCCGATTACATCAAACAATTAGATAATGTAATAATCACTTTATGGCTGATAAATTTATGTTTTTGATTTATTATTGAAGTTTCAAAATGATGAATAATTACTTTTTAGCTTGACCAAAATGTAGAACATCTTTTACCAAATATTCCTGTAGCTCTACATGAAGCAGTGTCTCGTTTGCTGCAAAAAGATCCTGAGGCAAGACCTATAGCAAAACATCTGTCTCTGATAAAATATTTCAGGTAAAAAAGTAATACTAAGATAGTGTATTACACTTAATTTTTTTTACTACAAAAAAAATATTTCAATTTCTAGTGATCCTTCAGTTCACGCTCTACAATTTCTGGATGTTATCAACATGAAAGACCCGAATCAAAAATCACATTTCTACAGAAATACGCTTAAAGAAGTTCTTCCTTTTATTCCACGGGTAAGAAAAAATTTTTTCTAACTTTCAATACCAATGAAAACGTCTCTAAAATTCCTTTTATAACACGCTTTCTGTTAATGTAATGACAATTCTTTAGAAATTGTGGTATCAACATATCTGGCCTTATCTTGAAATTGAATCCAAATCTCAGGAAGTATTTGCATCAGTACTTCAACCAATGTTATCAATAATTCAACAAAGTAAAACCGAAGATTATGAAAATATCATTCTACCATCTTTTCGAGAGCTTTTCTCAGCACCGAGATCGGTTCAAGGAACTGTTGTTTTACTCGAAAATCTACATGTGGTTTTTGAGAAAACTCCAAGTGATATAGTCAACGGTGAGATGCTTCCGATGCTTTATTCATCTTTCGAAAGTCCTAATATTCAAGTTCAGGTATGTAGACAAGTCAATAGAAATTTTCATTTTACGAGTAATATAATTTAATAATTATTTAAAACCAGTTATTATCAAAGAGGTTTAAATTTTACAACAATACTGTAAATTATAACTATAGCACTAGTACACGGAGGGAATTTTTTCATTAAATGTAAGTGCAAAAATGACAAGCCCAAGTTTCGAAATTTATAAGTAAAAATATTTCTATTCTATAGTAAATTTTGAGTTCGTGTAAGTAAACTTGTGACTTAAAAGGTGTCTTAGTAAAAGAATTAATTACGACAACCCAGAATTCACTGTTGAACAGAAATATTTTTACTTATAAATTGCGAAACGTGGGCTTGTCATTTTTGCACTTACATTTAGTGAAAAAATTCTCTCCGTGTATAGGTTAATTTAAAATTTTGTGCTTCTACCTTTTCAATATCTCTTTAAAGATAAAGGCTTAATTTTACAATAAAATTTAAATTCATGTAAGTACTTAAGTAATGAGATATTAACGGTATCCTCAATTAAATCAAATAATATTTAATATTATTCCAAGCTGAATTAAATAATTTAAACTCCTTAAAATAAACCGATTTGAATAGTATAGTTAAATGTTCAATTATAAAATAATTTTTAAGACTCTTGAAATTTATCCTATCAAAATTGCATTCTAACAAATAAACTTATTAATTTCATTAAACAGGCTGCGGCTTTCGTAGCGGTATCAAAAGTAAGCGATTATATTGATGAAACATCGCTTCGAAATATTGTATTACCTAAACTCATGCACGCATTTGAAGGAAGTACCACAGATTCTAGGATTCTTATGAATTGTCTTTCCCGTATCATAGATCAGTTAGATACTCAACAGATTATTGATGAAGTGTTTCCTCTGTTATGGGAAATTAAACTTCAAGAGCCCGATGCTGTCCTGAAGGTTGTAAGTAAGTGTAATCTATTGATTATATAATCAGTTTTAATTTATTGTTTATTAATTATTTGTTAATGGTCAGTTTCACTTTATAACTTTATAACTAGAAAGTTTTCATGTAATATCAATATTACATTATTATTAATATCATAAAGTGTTAATTAATTGGACTGAAAATTTAATTAAATTTTATGTCAAAGGACAGGAAACTATTATATAAATGAATTGAAATCAGGTAGTATTCAGTTTATATTCTGAAACAAAAAAATACTCTGAATGTTGAAAACGTTATTTTGTTCTTATGAAAACTAATTAAATCTTGATGAATAATGGATAAGAACGAATTTAGGAAACTTTCAGTTTATTTTAGTTTTAAGTTGCAAATGAAGTTTTTTGTAATAATCAATAGTAATGCAGAAAAAAATTATTTAAGATTCAAAAAACATTTTATATGAAAATCAGCAGGTTCAAGAATGTTTAATGTATATTTTTTTTAAATATATCCTTGCCGAGAGCGTTTTTAAACTTTAAAAAAAATTCGGAAGTAAACTGTTCCTTTTTGAGTTTTTATAACAGAAAGAAAAAGTAAAATACTAATTTTTTGATACAAAATTTTCAAATTACAAGTTAGTTTTCAATTACATTTTTATCCATCAAAATGGGACATAAAAAATTTATATAAAAACTAAAATCCAAGAAACTACTAAAAATAATTAGTTTTCAGGAAAGAAGAATAAAATAAATATTTATTTTTCTTTATTCATTAGAGGCATTACTATTCAAATTAAACGATTTTTAAGTGACAAATTTATGAGTGATTTTACATAAAAATGCAATTAAAAACATCAATCAATAAACTTTAGTTTCAAGTATCGATCAAAATGTTATCTCACACAAAACTATTGAAATAATTTCATTCAATTATATTCTAATGAATTATGATTAATATTTTATGAATGATTCTAAAAATAGTTAGTTTTGCTCTATATTTCGTGATGCTATACTGATAACATATGATAAAAAAAGTACTTCATGTATCTAATTCATGATGGATCAATAGTAAAAGCTAGTTTATTAAATGAAAATAGTCTTTTAACCTTTCCTATTATTGTTGAGTTTTCACTAAAGAGAGCAAATCAATTTCTTCTTCATCGATTATTTTTTTCAATCAATATTTGGATATAAATATAATAAACAACGTCATTTGTATATTTAAAGTATTTTTAATATTGAAAATCACCAACTAAAAATATGTTCTTGACATTCAAATTTTTTAGCTCTAAAGTTTTTTATTTTAAAAATAAATACTCTCCTCGTACGTAAATGAATATTTGTTTTTTTTTTATATGATCGTTAAGAATCGAAAATGTAGATTTTACATCGTAAGAAAAATCGAACAGAATAATTTTAAACATTTTTTACTATCTGTACCATAACTGAACCTTCTTTCGTTATTTTATTCATGTGCTATTCAATATTACTAAAAGTTTTTTGAAGTTTTTCTTTCCCAAATATGAGTATAATGATATCTCAATTTTTAATAAATTCTCACAATATATAAATAAAGACTTAAGTTAGTTGAAGATAATTTCTACAAATAATCCTTGTTTCAGACATTTATCGACTCCTTTTGAGTAACAAAAAATATGGACTTTCGATCAACCTGATAGCTACTAAAGTGATGCCCATTCTTCTCCCAGTCACCGTTAATCCGTCCCTGAACCTAGATCAATTCACGGTACTCATGGAGATTCTACAAGATATGTTAAATCGTATCGAAAGAAACCAAGCTAGCAAACTCAAGTTATCCACGTCAAGTCCTGAGAGACATCGACCCTTAAGACACCAATTTAGTACAGAAAATATGCATGCACCTCCGTTTAATATCCCAGGCCTTCGTATTGAACAAAGGAAAACATCTTCTGCTGAAGACATGGTGAGGAAAACTTCTATTGGATCCATGTCTATGACTGCTTCTGCTGAAAACATGAATCGCAAAAATTCTATGACAGGTAAATGAAATAAAAAATTATTATAAACATGCTGGAAAGACTCTTTTAATCATATAAATATAGTAAAACTGAATACAAAAAAGTTCAGTGAGTGCTAAACCATCCAATTGTGTTAGTTCATTCATCCTAAATAAATTTTTGAGCACCATTTATTCCATGAAATAGAATTTAAAAATAAAAACATTTGTGTATTCGAGCAAGTTTTATTTTTCACATGTTATTCAGGTGAAATATTTTACTACGTTTCTTAGTACGTAATGTTACAACAGGAATTTTCATTCATTACACAGGACAGAATTAATCACAGCGATTAGACATTATCAATACTAAAAATAATTTTATGTTAATTACAAGTCATAAAGAAAATTTGACGAAAATAGGGGACTAATTAAAGCCTTCACTTTACCTAGATTAAAAATAATAATTTGAGAAAATCCATTGAGATGTTTTCTAATGTATTATAATTATTTTAATAGAGTATTTTCTACTTATAACATTTTTCTATAAATAAAATGATTAAAGAATTTTATAGCATAAGTGTCAAGCGATTATAAATATCTTCTCATTCAAGCTTACTACAGTAATATATATATATGGTCCTCGAAAGTTTGTAGAATTTAATTAGTGTTATATTATAAGAGAGACCATAGAAGTTCAAGATGATACACAAGCATGAGTTAAAAGGGGGATAAATTGACATATTTACCGAAATATATCTTTGGGTTTAATTAAATAGCAAATATTTCAAAAGATGTCTTTTTTCTACCATATTTCAAATATTCTAAATTCAAAAGTTTGTATTCGTCATCTCAAGTGTTTCATAATTACTGTAGATAAAAGAATTTTTTACTTTTATTGCGATTTTTTATATTTTTCAAATATTTTTTCCAAATATTATTGTCATTTAATTTTAAATTAAAATAGTAATTTAGTACTGGATGTAAACAATTTATTGTTCTAAATATTTCAAAACTTGACTAATTACTGTTAGCAATAATAGAAATAGATGTCGGATAGCTTATTTATGTAAATTTGCTTCATACATCAAGGATGATGAAATTGGATGAGTCATTTACGAGCCATTATTCTAAACAATTACTTATTATTTGAGCTTAATTTAGAAAGCAAGTTAATGATAATAATTTATTTTCAGGTTTACTTGGTGGATGGTGGTTTGGTTCTTCATCTTCAGCAAATGAAGGCGGTTTCCTGAGGGTCACCAGTGCCTTCCCTAGTCGTCGACTCTCCGACAATACCCTTATGACTCCAAAAATTCGCATTGCTCCGTCATGTTCTAGTTCTCCTGGAGGTACTCCTGGTGGTGGGTTGCCTATAAGGCGACACTCCAGTACGGGACCACAAGAACGTCGAGGATCTAATGTCAATCTTTCACCACCCACGGTAATAATTATACATTCATTCATTTTTATAATAAAGTTAATATAAAGATAATTGTAAAATTAGTTATATAATATATTAATAAATATATCTATTAATAGGGCGGGATGCCAACGACGAGTAGCAGTGTGCCATATCTATTGAGTTCCAGTATGACGAGCATTCGTAATTCCCGAAGACCATCAGTTTCATCAACATCCTCCCAACAAGGCACGGGTCTTCTTCAACAATTTGGCACCGGCATGGTAAGACAACTACCCCCCATCTGCCTCAACCTCAATGGGATACCAACACCACCATCACCACAACTACCACAACTACCAATACCACCACTCTCTCCATCAATCCAGCCATTGGGACAGCCTTCCCACTGACCCTTGGTTAAGATGTAAGAATCTCTTTTCTGTTTTTGTTTTTAAATCCTTCACCGTACGTTTTGCGTTCATTTTTATTTCTTACTTCTTTTCTCTACTTTTTTTTCTTCACTTTAAAATTCAGCTGGAGTTCCAAAAACTGAAATTCTTTGATTAACTTTAAATTTTAAAAACATTATTATTTCAATTAAAAGAAGGGAAAGTTATTAAAATAGATAATTTTCTGGGCATTTAACAATAATTTAGAAAGACTGGTTTGTTTAGAAATGAAATTTACTAACAAAGTTTATAAGTTTTCATTCGATAGTAAATTTCAGCTTGAATATTCTATAAATATCTTCCATCGAGAATGTTCCAGTAAAATACTTTAACTCTTAATTTGACATAGGATAAATATTAGTGATATGTACATACTTATCCGGTAACTCATCATATGACACTCGGATTTCTGGTGACAGAAGTGTCACTAATTAGGAAGACAAGACCAATTAGAGGTTGACAATCCATATAGTAAGAGCGATCATATATTACATACAAAACGTCCAACACAATTCAAAACCATTTTCTGACAATTAAATCGTTAAGATTATTCCAAAAAATGCGATAAAAATGTCAATCTATTGAAGTATACTAGAAAAAATTTGAAAAAAATATTTATAATACTTTGTAATCATAGCTATATAACAGAAGCATTTTCTGAAGCTTAAAAAATCACATTAAAAATCAATAAGACTGTTTTAATTTTTGAAACTCCAGTCAAAAAAAACAATCAAAAAGTAAAAACGATAATAAGATTAGCACATTTTTAAGTTGCTTTGTTATAATCCGCGATTATTTATTTGAAAAATCGTTTTAATTTTTCGTTGCAGTGCCAATTCTTCTCCGGTCGTTCTTAAACAAGTGGCTCAGTGGATTTTGCGATGTTGGTGGGTTATTAAACGCGCATATTCATCAATACGCCAATACACATGTTACAACCATCATCTTAAATTCAAGAAACATCCAACACATTGGCATCTGTGCATTAATCCGTTGCAGCATCAACGTGGTAATTGGGATCATTATCATTCGGAGGATGATACTTTGACGAATCAAGTAGCAATCGTTGTCACACTCGACGGATCATCCTCGACGGAGCACATGCGCCCCCAATAACGTTTTAATCATTTTTTCGTCTTGTATATATTTAAATATAATATAAAATACTTAATATTAAATGATCGTTTTTTTACAACTAAATTGAGCAAAATTGAAGCATTAACAGTTTTTATTATAAATGTGTTATTGTATTGCATTCTTTATTTAAATCAATTTTTTATACTATTTACAAAACTATCAGCTATTTTCCGTATTTTTTAACAACAAAGAACCCATAGTCTGAAAACAAGCATCACTTAACATACATTTACATAAAAAGGCCTATGTAAAAAAAGACTAAGTTTTATGTCATAAATGAATTTATACTTTTTATGCTCAATTATAACAACGATTTTTTTTTATAAAGATATGTTGCTGAAGGTAAATAATTTTTTTTTATCAATGAAATATTAATTATAAATTTTTATGAATCTTTTGTTCTCTCAAAGTCACACCAATGAGAATAATCAAAGACCTTCAAGTAAAGAAAGTACCCACAGACCAATATAGAATTTCAAGAAAAATATTATTCTAAAGACTTATAGCCTCGGTGATTAATTTTTAACTCAATATGTATAAACTATACTTAACATATCGTTAATCTCGTTCAAAGATAATTTTTTTTGTTAAACATAGATTTAGTAAAAATATCTAGTATTTACTTGGTAAAGAAGTAAATGATTATACAATGAGACACACAAACAGCCTTAGACATTTTATCAAACGAAGAAGAAAAGAATGTGCATTGTAGACAATTATTTCTTTATTTAAATCTATTCAAAATCATTTAAATTATACTATTTGAAGAGAAAATTTAATTATGATTTTGACTCATGTTGACTTCAACAAATTTAAAATTAATTCTTAAAAGAAATAAAATAAGGACTGATCGGAAACGGCCTGAATTCATCTAGTCTTAATGTCAATTTTTTGTTGACTTTGAATTGCATCAACAATCACTATCTCTTAAGATTTATTTTTATAATAGCGATGATCTCAATCTATGAAGGAAAAAAGTAAATTTCAATATAATGCCGAACGACCGTTGGTCGAGAAAAATCGGTCAATCTTAATTTTTTATAAAAAATGTTATATAAAAAGTCTAAACAGAAAATTAACTATTAAAAATATCAATAATATGAATTTTCACAAATTCAAAAAAATTTATATATAATTTTTGTTTCTACAATTCATTTTTAGAAATTTTTTATTAATACGGTCCTTCTTCTATTTAGTAGGAACAAAAATATGTACCTTCTTTTATTTTGTCTAAATTTAGCTATTAATAGCATGAATTGAAAATTCTAAAAGTAAATAAAAATTATCTTTTTTTGGAATATTCTTTAATATTTTAAAATACGCCGATATATTATTATATAAAGATGAAACTATAATAAAATAATTAATTTAATGCTTTACAAACACTATTTATTATCACTTAGGAATTTGAAGATTTAATATACATAATATATACTTATTTTAGAGATACATGAGATTTTTTTTGTTGTATCTTATAAATGTACTTCTCTTCACTGTGATACACTTGGTTTCACAAAACTTAGGACAAATATTCATAAGATGATAATCAAACAATTAACCGATAAAATTCGAATATCAAAATAGAATAATCGGTGTTGCCGATCATTACGTTGGTTCGAATATAAAGAGAAAGTATCCATCGACGCAATTTGATTTACTGTGTTAACTTTTTAATCTATTTGATGAAATATTTACAATCTAATCCTATCTTATGACATAAGTATTATGAAACTTAAAATTTAGTTAAAGCAAATCGGGTTAATCCTATTAAATCTGATCAAGTTTGGTTGATAACGTACAAATTGTTTTCTGATCAGTCCATTATAATAGAAAAATATTAATTCCAATTATTAACTAATATGGAAAATTAACTATAAATTTCGATACTTTGTCATGCATATTGAAGTAATATTCAGTTTATAAACAGTAATGAACAACTTCACTTGGAAGTTGAGACTAAAAACTTATTCAAAGATTTATCACTATTAGTTAATATTGACTGAATTATTTACACTTCGGATTCATTTATGTTTGTTTGATGTAAAAAATTTCAATTAAATTAACGATTAGATAAATAAATTTAAATTTATTAAATTCAACGCGGAAATAGTTCAATCAATTTAAATAGATCAGAATTTAAACTACTAAATTTCAATTTCTCTTAACGAATTCGATTTAAACTTCCATTACATTCTTAAATTGATTCAAACAGATTTACTTAAATATTGCAATTTTTAAACTTGTGCTCAATGAAAGTGAATCAGCTAAAATAATATACCTACTCCGATCACACTTGACTGTTCGTCGACGAAGTGAACTTGATTTATCTGAAAGATTTTGAAACTGGGTTAATTAAGACTCATTTTGAAATAAATCAAAATAAGTTTAATTAAACTTCATCAAGTCTAAATTTTAACAGTAAAAATGAAAATAAATATAGACATTTAAGAGTGGATCGTAGCCATTACTATTTTTTTAAATTATTGAAAAATGTAACACCTAAAAAATATTAAAAATAAAATAAAATACTTTCTATCGATTAATTATTAATGAAACAGAGATGATATTAAGATAGCAACAAAAACTTATAAGGTCAATAAATCGGCCTTTTTTTTGTACCTGCAATAAGAAACGAATAGAGATTATTTATTTATCTACCACACATATATATCTAATGTAAAAAATGATGAATCATAAATTGGTCAACAATATATCAAAGCAATTTAATTTCCACAGAATCCATAATACGACTTAGTATAAACGTCGATGGAAAAGAAATAATATTTTGAAAAACTATTAAATCAAATATAAAAACAGCAATGTTAAAATATAACATATAATGAGGTGCAGGTCACCAAAAGTTGTTAAATACGATCGTCTCAATAGAAAAATGCTATTACAATTAATGGAAAATTACATATAAGAAAATTATCATCAGTATTTAGAAAATATTTAAACTGAAAATAATAAAACCAAAGAATGATAAAAATTCGTTGTTCGGCGAATTTTAAAAAAAAGGTATATGCTATTAAGATTTCACTCTCTTCTTCGTTGTAAGTTTTAAAATGAAAAAAAAATTATTTATTGCTTCAATTTCTTGATTATGCACAGCTAATAAAGTTTAGAATTGAATGAGAGGAAATAATCTGCATATAAGTACCTAAAAAGCAACTATTGGTATTGTTTATTTGTCACAAACGTTTTCTATAGAAGCATAATTAACCGCAACTTTATTAAATAAATTTTTCATGATTTATGTATTACTTAAACATTTTATGACTACAAAATTAAGTGTCCTTAAAATTTAAGCGAATGATAGATTAACTGATAAAGATAAAACGTTTGGAGACTTAACCAAGGGCTTTAAAAATTTGTATCATCTTATAACATGGTTCGATGACAATTTATTGACAATCAACGACAATCGTACATATTTCAATCGATTTTTTTTAATGACTCAAGTCTTCAAATGTTTGAAAAACCAGAAAAGAAAATGATGGTTGCAAAGATAAAAATCATTTTATTGATTGATGTTACAAATGTAATAAAAAAGTACAATCATTGTTTTGTCCTGAACTTGTGTGTATATTAGGCAACAGATAATCAATAATTTGTGTAAGCTCGTCTTAATATTTTGAAAAATAATTAAAAGAAAAAAAATATACATACATAAATATATATATATATATACATAAAATATAGTGAAGTAAAAAATATCGTAAAGTAAAAAATAAGTAAATATATCCTTCAAAGTAGTTATCTCATAATATTTGGTAGTAAAAATTTCATTCAAAAGTGAATGAGTGCTTCAAATTTCAAAAAACATTTGTTCTAAATTTTTTCTTATCTCCTTTTTTGAAATATTTTCAAAAAAAAAAGATACATTTCATGCATATCCTTTGTGTATTCATATAAAAAAATAAATATTTAATTAAGTGTATAATTAGTAGATTCAAAATTGAAATGAGTTGAATAATTATTTTTTATAAATTAATGTAAAATTATCAATGATAAATATTATGAGACATCTACTTAAAAATTATCAACTAATTTGTTGATTAATGAATAAATAATCTATCTTAATCGAATCTATCAAAAAATTTGTCAGTGCCAATTACATGATTACTCTTCGTCTTTTAACTTGAACATTCAAGAATGATGTTTCAATTCATAGTTGGACGTAGAAAGATGATATTTTCTTGATTGTATGTATAGAATCAAATACTGTTCATGTGTAAAATATATCACTTTCTAAATTGTTGCATTCACTTCAGTAAATTTCGAATCTTTACTCTTTAGTCTAGTCATCTTTCATGTTCTTATATCTTTCTATAGAAAGAAGAAGCATCAATTAAATTTGACATGAAATTTAGAAACAAAAATCAATTTTTAATGAAAATCGTTTCGTAATTAGCACTACAATTATAAAAATATGAATAAAAATGAAAAATCTATTCGAAAGCTGGAAGAAAATTGAATTTAAAAAATTTGATGATTCTTATTATGCATTACAAAAAGTCAATATAAGCCTGTTGGCTGGTATTCATATTAATGCCGTATAATAATGTAAAAACTGCAAGACTGTAGATTTCATAAAGAATGGAAATAAAAAAACAAAAAAAAAAGTAAAAGACATATATGGCAGTAACAAACAATTATAGTTTTTGTGATATTTAAAATTGGCGCATTAATATCACAATAAATGAATGCTATTGTATACACTTACACAAAGATACATATATTTTTAATATGGTTTCCAGCGATTACAAACATATATTTTCAACTGCATTATATTTTAATGATAAACCCAAAACGCACTAGTAACATATGTATTTTCAATTATTGTTATATAATTGAGCCACGAACTCTGAAATGTCTTATCACTATTTCGGAAAATATTAATTCCCTTGACTCTAAATGTAAGAGTCTAAAGGTATATAGATGCAATACAGTAAATGTACGATCTTCAATAAATGTGGGAATATAAGCAATTTTTATTTGTTTCTTTTTATTTATTTTTATTTTCCAATAGAATATTCAAATAAATGATCTATTGTTTCTTGCAAGTATTTATTTCATTATAATTTTAGATTGCACATCACTATTCTCATCTCTTTCTGTAACAATATTTTACTTTTTATCTTTTACACATAAAAGCTTTTCTAATTTAAATATTGGAGCTATATCATTTACATATCGCAGACTAATTTTCCCGCTTTTCAAGCAAATAAAAAATACAGAAGTGCTCCGAAATGAAATTTTTTTGAAACATCTTATATTTTATATACCAGTACACAATCATTTAGTAAAATAATATACACATCACTGAAAGAATTAAAATAAATATACAAATAAGAATTGACGTGTTTTATATCATCTTACACTATTTTTTATTTGTAGAGAAAACTTCTATTTCATAACACAACATCTTGCCCATTTCTTTTATTTATGCTTTCGATTCTTTAGAGATGCCCCCTTGTGTTACAAATGATAATTATCCATTTTCAAATTATCCAATCAGAAAATTTTCAATATGGCATCTCACATGCCAGCCACCATTTTCCAATATGTCCGCTACTCTTTTGAGATAACAGGATTGTTTTCTGTTGTTATTAATGACACAACATCATGCAGTGTTAAATAAATAATAAATAAATTATTTATAAAATAAAAGGATATTTATAATTTATAAGTTAAGTGCAATGTGATTAATTTTATTGTGTTCAATTAAAAATGCAATTTATTTATAATTTTATGAAAAGAATATTGTAAAATAACGTGTATACTGTTTGTAGTACAGTATTTTCTTGAAAAATATTACTATTGTTATATTTCTCTAAATTTCTGAGAAATCTTAAATATTATGATTAGAAATGGCTCAAACGTCACTACTAGAAACAGACGAGCTCTCAAAAAATTTTATAAATGCAATGCGAGTTCTTTTTCGCATTATGGATGATCAGAATACAGGTTTTATTCAATATTCAGATATAGAATTACTATGGCAAGATAATGGAAATGAGGGCTTGTCTAGAGGAATTTTAGAAGCACTGAAAGAAGTTACACCACCAAACGGATTAATATCATTCGATCGATTCTGTGCTGGATTAAAAATATGCTTACTTCGAATAAAAAATGATTTAAAGTTGAATCATCACACTAGCCATACCAATAAACTCTCTACATCCACTTTAATCATGGACAATCAAACTAAAGATCTATGGACTCAATCAAATACTGCTACAATTAGACCAAATAATGCAATTTTGAAACGAACATTTAATAGTAAATCTTTTGGAGCAGATTTACATAAAGATTTCAGTCATGTGCCATTAGATACATCAGATGAAAGACTGGCTGCTGAATCTAAGTTAATTAATGTGCGTGGTCCACCTAAACCTCCAAGGACTAATGTTATGGAAAAAAGATCTATCAAAACTGAAAATAGTTTCGAAAAATTAGACGTAAAGACAGCACAAAATTGGCAATTAGGATTAATGTCTACCGATGATAAGTGTTCAATGAAAGTATCTAAACCGAATTATAACTCTAATTCAAGAACTTTATTAAAAACACAGAAAGCTGTGAGTGATGATAAAGGTATGAATGCTCAAGCAAACCAACTTGAAGTTTCATATAAAAAATCAACTTCAAGAGGAAAAGAAATACGACGTCATACTCTCCAAAATGGTATCGACTATAATATGGTAAGAAAAACTGAGTAAATATTTAAATCACTATTAATAAATTAAATAATAATTTTTCAATATGTGATATTAAATTCAGATTAAAAGAATTAAACAAATAGAACAAGAAAAAGATATTTTATGTCAAGGGCTTGCAGCTGTTGAAAAAGCTAGAGAATGGTATTTAAAACAAATAGCTTCGACTCAAGAAAAAATGAAGCATCTTGGTAGTATGACATCTTATGAGGTAAATATTATTGTAATATCGTAAATTTTTAACGTAATAGCGAGGTGAAACATTTTGAAAAAACATTCTTTGATATATTTTCTACAGGAACAGTGGACTGAAGCACAAGCAGAACGTTTAGAACTTCAACGAGCTCGTGTTTTGGAAGTGAATCGTTATTTGGCAGCTTTAACTACAAGCTGGGAACGGGGTGGACTTCCTCTACATATGAATTTAGCTTTTTTGAATACGTCTAATCCAGTACGGAATAATCAAAATGCTTATTCTCAATTACAGCATCAAAATTATAGATTGACTGAGGTAATTTGTTGTATAATAATATCTATATAAATTTTGCATTCATTTTTATACTCATATCAATATGTAATTCAGGAGTTAAACAAGAAAACCCATAAAATTGCCTTATTAGAAGAAGAAAAAGAAAATCTTATTCGAGAACTGTATAATCGTCAAGCTGGAATGATTCAATCACGTCGATCAACTATGATTCATGAGCAACATGATCAAACATTCATGTAAGAATTTATCTTAATTTTCTAATACTTTAGTTTAAATTTCAATTAGTTGATATTAATTGTTAAAATTTTTTCAGTATTTAATTATAAAGAAATCAAATTTATATAATTAATCGTGGACGCAGACTACATTAACTATGGATCCAAGAATGCTTGAAGATTTATTCACATTTTTTTAATAAAATAAGTTTTCATTTCGAAGAAACTACTTCCTGGTGCTGGTTACGTTTATAGAAAATTGAAATTTTCCAGTATTTCTTCATTAAATGCTATATGAGTCTGTGGTATACTTTCTACGTTCTAGCGTCCATCAAATTATAAAATAAATCAATTGTTATTAAAACAGTATCATACCGTGTGGGTATTGATGTTTAAATTTTTTGGAAAACTTGGAAATAATTAAATTTCACGAAAAATTCACATTTATACATAAAATTTATATCTGTTACCTAATTTGTAATTTTTATATGAAAACAAATATAAATTGAATCTTTATAAATTTTGCCATGAAAACATGTTATAAAAATCAAAAATAAATCATATCAATACTGCAACAATATATTTGAATTTTATATATCAATTTAATTTTTTGTATCGATTATTGATTTGTAGAAATTGTTATATATATAATGACGTTACGCAAACTTACATTAAATCATAAAAAAATCATCGAAATTGATATAATGTAGTAATATATTACTTTTAATTTATTTGCATACTCGTTTTTACGAAAATTACATGAATAAATGACAATTACATTTACATTAGATTTTTATACAATCATTATATTAAATTGGGAAAATATGAGCTATAAGTTATTTGTTGTCTTGTTCTCATTCATCTGAAAGACTTCTACAGGGATAATCTCAATTTTTTTCACTCCTCTTCAACTTACTTTCGCTAAAATCGCATAGTGACGACAGGCCGAATTAAAAAAAATTTTAATTATATTTAATTCAGAAATACGTAGAGTATTTATAAATAAAAAGATATATTTTATATTCAGAAAAATTAATTATATTATATAAACATGCAATTATATAAGATATTTAATCGATAATTAATTTTTTTAAAATAGGAACACTGTGTCACTGTACATCACTGGTTTTGACACTTCAACAATAATTATAATTATTAGAATGATTTTCTTGTAAAATGAAAATGATTAGTCGATCTTTGCTACTAAAAACTAATAATTTATCACTATCAAACTGGCTTAAAGTAAATGTTGAGTTTACTATTAGCCTAATTGTAATTTTTAGTTAATAGTTTATATGAATCCATCAGGGAGTAAAATAAAAAAAACGGATAATTGCCATGTAATGGCATATGAGATACTAAAAAACTTCATAGTCACATGAATAGGATAAAATGTACCACACAAAATAATATTGTTCCGTGATTTGTCATTATATGATTATAAATAATCAATAGATTTAAAATTTATGTTCATCTATATGAATATGATACAGAACAGTAATATATTCCATTCAAATTTACTCCTTCGTATTGTTTATTTCAGAATATAGATAATTTCATTTAATACTCATCTATCATAAAAATCGTATGAATAAATAATGTGTATTCTCATGTTTACTTTTTATTTTATTAACTTGAACAAATATAACTAGGGAGCCGTAAAATCGAAATTTTTTTATAAAAAGAAATTCTTTTTTTTCAGTTATCTATTTCTTTACTTATCGAATAAACTCCATAAGTTTAAAGAGCCATGAAATTTACGTCTGAAAAAGTATTACATTTTTTGGAAAATTTTGGAAAAGTTGTATGTTTATTGCCGGTAAACTCTAACTCCAGTAGAATGATAGCAATTCTAACTCAAGTTGCATTCTACTTTACTATTACGAATATATTAAGCTTGATTGTTTCTATACTCGTGAGTACTTATTTGAAATCTTCTGAATACATTCTAGTGACAAAGTTATTAGGATTAGCCATGCTTTACTTAGAAGTTTTATCAAATATTATCATTTGGAGAGTAAAAAAATCTGCATTTCAGGTATGTAATCAGTGAATATAATAATCTGTAGTAATATTTATCTAACTTTTGTTATTTCAGAATTTGCTACAAGAAATTCATAATTATTTCCAATGTGCAGAAATAAGAAAGCAAAAATTGATTCACGAATACATAGATCGTTATAAATATTTGTATACATTTCAGATAGTTTTTTCAATATTGACATTAGTGATACGAATAATTATAGCTCCACCATTACAACCAGACAAACTTCCTTACAATGTGTGGTATCCATTTCCTATAAAGCCATTCACCTTCACTTATTTTTTAATTTTTTTTTTACAATTAATCAACACAATCCAATGTTCTTCTCAAATTATATTCCCATTGATAGTTGCAATAATTTTTCTGCATATATCGATGAAATTAGAGATACTTATTCAAGATATACAAAAAATCAAAAGTAGTGATCAACTCATCACGTGCATCAAAAGACATCAAGATTGTATCAAGTAAGAATTAAGTTTACTCGAGTAGAATAAAATAGCAATAGTCGAACTATAATACTATTAATTATTTTGAATTGAAAATTGATTATATATTTGAAACTTATGTAGGACTGTGAATAGGATTAATCATATTTTTGGAATCATTGTGGTAAAAACGTATTTTTTGATGGGACTGGCGATTATTTTTGCAACTATTCCATTAATTCACGTAAGTATACTTACTTTCTAAGCACACTGAGAATTATTTATATACGTCTTAAAAAACAATTCATTTGTCATTTGGGTGGGTAATGGTAGGATTTTAATTTCTTTACAACGTTCCGTGCGGGTTGTACAATTACAGACTGTCTACTTTGCGCCTATATTTATAATGGAGCCGCTGATGATTTACATAGAATGGTAAAAGTCTAATTAATAAAATTTGAATAGTTAGTAATGAAATATTGAGTTACTTGGCATCTTTCAGAGTCAATCAGTGGCGGTTACTTTGTGTGGTCTAGAATGGAATGATGAGCTAATGAAGATGCGAAGATCTTTATTAATAATGATATGTCGAGCCCAAAAACCATTGGTTATTTCTCCCCTTGATGGTTTGATGCCAGCTTTGACTCGAAAAGTTTACACTTCAGTAAGTTTAATGAAACTCACCACAATTTTTTTACTTATTACATAATAATCTAATATATTTTTTCAGTTTCTGTCTTACTTAATCTCGTACATCATGACCCTACGTGCCATTGTCAGCTCTCATTAACGTGTTGAGTTTTTGAAATGAACTTTTTTTTTACCATTAGTTCATATCACATAATATACGATAAACTATTAAATGAAAAATTTAAGTACTCAATATCCTTTTATGAAGTTAATGGAACAGAAACGCGAACGTCTCTGTTCATCATTCTAACTAGGGAATCCTTCTGTACTGTCGATTTAATAAAAGCGATCATGGAAGGTAATAGAAAACAGAAATATACTCCAGAAGTGTTATTTCCATTTTTACTAAATTTTGACAAAGTGTCTTGTGCAATATCTTTGGATTCTAAGTCATCAATTATACTCAAAGTATTACATAGATTCCCATGACAGGAAAATTAATCACAGAACTAGCAGGTACTTTAATGCTTTTTTATTGAAACTTCTTCGCAATATATTAGTATGGCAATATGAGAGAACAAATTTCAAAGTAAGTATAATAATCAGTCATTGTAAGGTATTTTGTATCTGTAAAAATAATAATATTTTAAAAATTATTTTTCAATTCTTATATTGGAAATCCTATATTGTTTTGGAAGTATCAATTTGATTGATGTGAGATTTATTTTTTTGTAATAATTAAATTACTGACATGAATTATGATAAAAATTATCTAAAAGCTACAGCCTACATTACCCTAATAGATTTGAGGCAACTAATTGTTAACTTTAAAACAACAATCACAATGTGCGATGAAAAAACGGTTATTTAACTAACATGCAACGTTTAAGTAACCTATAATCAACTCTCAAGTAACCGTTTATGAATGATTAACTCATAGATAATAAATTGCAAATTCTAACAGTTCATTTATAGTTATTTTAATTTAAAATTACCCTAAAATGACTCAAAGTAAACGCTGAGTTTACTATTAACCTAATTGTAACTTTCATTTAAGAATTGACATGAATCCATCAGGGTAATGAATTTTGGATGTTTTTTTATATAAGCTCTTGACTTGTCTCTAATTTACTCAAATTACTACGATAATTTTCACAAGAAAATTTCTTCTATGTTAATTATTTACTGTTAAGGTAGATTGGGTAATGAAGGTCAATAGAATAATTTTATTTTTACCTTTAGAATCTAAATCTGTATATAATAGCAAAATCATTTATCACAATTACTAGTTATTGACTTGGAACTTACATTTACAACGGTCCTGCTGATTATATGTATGAAATAATAATGAAATGTAAACATAACATATAAGACCCTATTAATCTATGAGTGACCTTTTAATTCCCATGACGACACTGAATAAAATGTTATTTTTTTGTTATGTATTTCTTTAGACATCCCCAAAAAAAAATAAAAAAATTTTTTAACGCACTACTCACTAATTCCACTTGTAAGAAGTTTCTTAAATTATGTTATAATTGAATAGGGGAAAAAATTATCAACCGTTGTTACCTACTAGCAGCACTGGAAATTAACGAGTTAATTATTAACAAATTGTTGTTAAAATCAAGTTATAGAATCTTCAATATATGTACAACATAAAAAAGAACGAAAAATGAGTCAAAATGAGAAAATCAACCATAATTGTTATTAATCGATTTCAAAAATCACTTTTTATTTCTGCACTTAAAGGACTCATGCCAGCTTTGAATCAAAAAATTTATACAAACGCATGTGACATAATTTTTTTTTGTTAACAAATTGCTAAATAATTTTCATGGTTTTTTTTTAGTTTCTATTGTATTTAGTATCATACATATTGACTCTACATGCGATAATAAATATTCAGGTCTAATAAATACCTAAATCGAAGATTAATATTTAAAAAACAAAATGTAAATGAAATCATAAATAATATCGAAACTAAATTTTAAAAAAACATCCTACCTATTTTAATAATTAATTTGTATTGATCTATATATTGACGTTAAAACTTAACAATAAATATCAAACAATTATATTCTATTTTGTTTCATGTTGGATTATTATTTAGTAATAAAAGCTTATTTATGTAATGTGAGGTAATTTTTTTTTTATTAGATAATCAATTATTATAATTCAACAAATATTTGTATTCAAAAAGACATATTACGTTGAAGAAAAAGACTTCAGGAAAATTTTTTCATGAAACAGACCAGTTGACATTCGTCTTATAAAGCTTTATAACGTAATGAAACTCGCTCCAGAAAAAGTTTTACGTTATTTAGAAAATTATGGGAAAGCTTTATGCTTATTACCATTAAATCAAAATTCGAATAGAATTTTATCAATTTTGAATAAAGTTGGATTTTACTTCTCTAGTGTTAATATGTCAATCATGATTTTGTGTATTTCTTTTACTGCGTATCTAAAACTAACTGAATTTATTTCCGTAACTACTCTCTTGAGTTTGATAATGCTTTATTTTGAAGTTTTATCAAACACTATAATTTGGAGATGGAGAAAATATAAATTTCAGGTTTGTTTGCACTGATCAAAATAAAAAGAATAAAGGATAAAGATTTTCGTTTGATTCTTTCAGGGATTATTACAAGAAATTCATGGTTTTATCAAATACATGGAAGTAAAAAATAAAGCAATCATTCAAAAATATATTGTTCGCTACAAATATTATTATGCATTCCAAATATTCTTTGTATGTTTGGCATTTATTATTAGGACAATAATTACTCCAATATCACAACCAAGCAAACTTCTTGTTGCTGTTTGGTATCCGTTTGTTATTGAGCCATTTACCTTCACTTATTTTTTAATTTTTTTTTCACAATTAATCAACACAATCCATTGTTCCTCTCAACTTATATTCCCATTGATAGTTGCAATAATATTTCTGCATATATCGATGAAATTAGAGATACTTATTCAAGATATACAAAAAATCAAAAGTAGTGATCAACTCATCACGTGCATCAAAAGACATCAAGATTGTATCAAGTAAGAATTAAGTTTACTCGAGTAGAATAAAATAATAACAGTCAGACTTTACTATTTACTTGTCAATGATTTTTTTTTTAATTTCGAAGAATGGTAGACAACGTGAATCATATATTTGGGAGCATGATAATAAAAACATATTTTTTCACGGGATTATCAATTATTTTAGGAAGTATTCCAATTATTTATGTGAGTTTATATTTTGCTTTAAAATTTGTATCATCGTTTAAACTAGAAATCATTCTATTATTCAATAATTGTTTTTAAACTATAATAATAGGAAAATAATTTTTTTGTAATCTTCCGTTCGGGATTCACTGCAATAAGCTGTCTTGTCGGCACTTATATTTACAATGGAGCAGCTGATGATTTGTATCAGACAGTAAGTATATCAACGAAGGATTTTTTATAAAATATTAAATTTTGGTAAATTAATACAAATATTTTCAGAGTCAATCAGTGGCGGTTACTTTGTGTGGTCTAGAATGGAATGGTGAACTAATGAAAATGCGGAGATCTTTATTAATAATGATATGTCGAGCCCAAAAACCATTGGTTATTTCTCCCCTTGATGGTTTGATGCCAGCTTTGACTCGAAAAGTTTACACATCAGTAAGTTTAATGAAACTCCCCCCAATTTTTTTACTTATTACATAATAATCTAATGTATTTTTTCAGTTTTTATCTTACCTCGTCTCGTACATTATGACTCTACGTGCCATTGTCAGCTCTCACTAATATGCCTAACTTATAAATTATTAACAATGATGTAAACGATACTGTATTATATTATTTGAAAATTTTTTTATGTTTATTCGATTTTCTGTTTCGAATAATAATAAATTATTAATAAGAATTGACAGATTATAGCGAGTTAACTAAAAAATATAAATGTGCATTTATTCTAATTTTACTAAATGAATAATTTAGCCCATAGTCTTTTTTTATAAATTATTTTATTTAATAAAAAAGATGATCTTTTTACGAATCCATTCATCATTAATCTCTCCAACTGTAAAGTTAATCCTTATTCTAATTTTTGGCGAATATTTGAATGCAAAATTAATATTCGCGCTGCGCAAAAATGTCCAGACAGCGCTGTATGGTAAACCTCACCACCACCAACTACCTTACCGACGTCAATATTTAATTTCAATTATGTATTCTATCTATGGATATTTTTAAATTTACAATATTTTTAAAAACAATTGGATGAAAAAATACTGAAATATGTCAATAAAAGAGGGTCAAAAGTGTTGAAGTACAGAATTTGATTGTAGAGTAGTGGTATGACGACTTCCGGTTGGCACGACAAGACCATGTGGTCGAAGCTCAGGCGCAGCCATATCAGTATTTAGTGTTGAGTGCTTCAGTATAATCAACGTGGCTTATAGATTGAAATAAATTCTAGTACTTTCACCATTCTACTGAAAATTATTAATTATTTGAATTAATAATCAGTAACAAAGTGTCATCGCCAAAATGGCAGATCTGGACGATTTTTTCGCGAAGAAGGATCGTAAAAAATCAAAAGGAAAGAAATTTACGACCACTGAGGAGATAGCAAAGAAACTAGAGGAGACAGAAAAACGTATGGAAAAGATGAAACTCAAAGAAAAAGCAGTAAATCCTGAAGAAGATGATAATCAACCACCCCAGGTAAAACATCAATGTTAAATTCTACTTTTGCACATAAATTTAATCAAAATAAACTAGCAAATATTCAAAATTTAGGCTATGATGAACGAACGCTGCCATGTTTGATTTTTGCATAAACGTCACACTTTTGAGGCATGACAAAAATTAACCCTCATACCAATTGACTAACTCAACACCTTCTACGGAGTTTGTAACTCTAGAAAGCCATTTCATTCGGTTATATAATCAACAGGATTGACGAGTTGTAATTTAACGGGTTGATTGTCTAAAAAAAAGTTCTTTTTTCAACTTATCAGAAAAATAACTGGTTTCCCTAGCAATTTATAATAGTTCAAATTCAGTTATTTCTATGACATTGTCTATTTTTCTCTTTATACGATAAAACTTTATAATCTACAAGTAGTTGAACTTTATTTCATTCATTATTCATTTTTCGCAGGAGGATGAGGAATGGAAGAATTTTGAGGAAGAAAAAAAAGATTACACTGGCTTAAAGCTTGGAAATCTACCTTCAAACATTTATTCAGATGAAGATAGCGATGACGAAAGAGGCACCGGAGAAAATAGTTCAGATGGTGAATCCGGAGAAGCTCGTCCGAAACAAACTGGACCTTGGAAAAAACCTGAAATGCCTGAAGTTGAACCAGCACAATCTGTGCCTACGAATCCTGGGGTTGTTACAGGCAATGGCGGTGGTGGTGGTGGTGGTGGTGGCGGCGGTGTTGGAGGTATGGTATATAAATCACCCCATCTGAGAAATCAGCCTGCAGTTCAGCAAAATCCTCGATCACGGATGAAAAATGTTGCTCCTGATATTCGTAGTGAAGAATATTTCCCTACTTTAAATGCAAAACAGCCTCAGAACTCGGAGCCGACTAACATTTGGGGCAGGCGGTAAGTTAAATTTAAAAAATTAAATATTGATAAAAAATTAGCCAAATATTATTGAATCATTTACATATAGCTATTGTTACGTATAAATTTTGATTATTCATAACAGATAATTATCAACTTTAGATTAATTAATGGTTACAATATCTTAAAATATTTATCTTCACTTTAAAATTATTGATAATGTTCTATCTTTTACGCTTATCAAATTTGATTTTGTAAATTAATGTTTTTGTCTTCAAATTGTTACAATTTAACTTTCTAGAAATTACCTGATAAAATAATTGTTCGAAATTTGATTAATTGATTTTGTTTTTCGTAGGAAACGAGATGAGGGAAATTTCGAAGAAGTTCGTAACCGAGGTAGCAACAGATATAACGTACAAGACTCGCAATCACAAGCACCAAAGCTATCTCTCGATAACAAGTATGGTGCATTATCTCAAGATCAAAGCTGAAACCTTCATTTTCAATACAAATTATCCATCGAGAGCCATCGATTAATCGTCGCTTCACCCCGTTTCGTAGCCCAGTCATGTTAATGAATACTAGACTGAACATTCAGTGCATGTCGCTCTCTTCCTGCTATGCAGACGCGGAATGTAATGTCACTTGTATTTTCATTCTCACTGTCAATGAACATTAGAGAGTATGCTAATGTTTCTTTTATCATTGATGGCATTCCTGATATATTTATATTAAACGACAAGTTCAGAATGATTCAATTGAGAAATGCAAGATTAATTTATTTCACTTGCAGCGGCGATTTCTTTTGACATCTCTGGGATCTCATGAAAAAACTTAACGTGTAATATGAAAAATAAGATTAAGAATAATAATGATTATTATATTAATAATATTAATAGAATTAATGATAATTATATATAAATGGGAACTTATAAATTAAGTTTCCTATAGAAATCATGCACTATTATAAAAAAAGAAATTTTTAGGTAAATTATGTTATACGCGTTATAGAAAAAATGAATGTCACCGAGGCTGGGCTTCGGGACGGAGGTAAACAGTAAAATATGTAAATGGTGCGCGGTAAATACAATGCAAGCAAATACTCTGCGAATGAGTAAATACTATATCAATTTCAAGTGAAAAAGGACTTAAATGATAATCATACAAATAAGAATAGTTAGTAATTCAAGGGAATAAATCTAATTGTTATTTCAAGACAAAAAAATATGCCTGTTATTTTTTTGTTGACGTTTGTTTCATTATTTTCGTGAAATTAAGGAATTTATTATAACAACAAATTGTAAAGTTATAAGGTGTCAAATGAAAGTCTTTTATTTCTTTCATCAAAAGAAATTATGATATCTTTGAAATTTTTAAGATATCTCAATATGTAAACAGTAACAAATTAATTAGTGATAAAAAAATAATTTATATTGTAATTCATGAAAGAAACAATTTTAATAATTTATTAATTTTGTGGCTAATGAATATCTCGTTGTATCACATTAAAGTCATAATATTTACATTTAATTCTTTCATAGTTATGTTTTTATGATATTATTTAGTCAATGCAATTAATGAATCGAATTTTTACGATATCAAAAATTGCCACGCATTTCAACGAAAATATAAACAACGTCATTTTTGTCTTCATTTTCAATATTATAAAAAAATTTTTTATAGTCCTATCTTTTATTACAAAGTGTGATTTGACTAGATAATTTTACTATTCTGCTGTGAGGATGCGATAGAAACAAAAAAAAACCTTTAAATTATGGTGCAAGCATATGTGGCAAAAATAAGGAATATTAATAAATTATAAATAAAAAATTATAAATAATCCGAATTTGTTTCAACATATTATTCATTTCATAAATTAATAGATTATATATATATATATATATATCTAGTAATAATAATATTTATATAAATCTACAGATTAATTTAGAATCGATCTATAAAAATTTCCATTTTTTTTAATTAACGCTGTTAATACATTTTTTTCTGTATTATGTTAATACATAGTAAAGAAATTTTTCAACATTTCTTGCTTATCCATTAGAATTATTCACTGCAAATTGATAAATGATTTTAAACAGCTCTTAAATTTTCCTTGATTTTTACTAATGGAATCAACAAGGGACGCCGCTACGATGAATTTGGCTCTATAATTTCGTGTAATAAAAAAAGACATCATTATAAAACCTCAGGACGATAATCATAAGATTCATCACGATTATCTCTTTCACCATACTTTAATCCATGACTTCCCTCGCTGCTGTAGTTAGAATACATGGGTTTTTCTAGTAATGAATCTTTAAATTTGGGTAAAAAGTATATTCCTGCCCTTGTAGCACATGAAATCCCCTAAGACAAATAACTTGATTTATAATTTTTGTAAATTATCTTTGCAAAACAAATTTTAGTCATTAATATATCTTTCAAGAAACAGTAATCACTGTTATCATGCTATAGAAATATTTTCAAAACAAGGAGCCATTAATATATTCAAACTTTAATAATAAATAAACATCTCTAATAATTATGTTGGGTTAATAAACAACTGTTGTTATTATCAAATTATATTAAACGAAAAATTTATAATAAATATTTTCAAATTTCATTGATACTATAATAACTAAAATTTAATATTTTAATGGATGGAATCAAACAGTCATGATAAAAATATTTACTCACATGATCTTTTTACAGTATTTTAGCAAACGTATTTTTTAGAATAGTAAATAATTATTTGAATAAAATTTCTTTCAATTATAAAATTACTTACATCATCAAACTCAAAATTAGGTTTATCTGGAGCTAATAAAACGTCATCTTCAATTCGTGTGTAAAATGTAGGATGTTCTTCTAATTGATCCATTTTTTCAAGCATTTTTGAATCAACATCATAAACTTCTCCAAGTACATGCTAATAATAATACAGTGATAATGAGTATTTTTAAATAAAAATTTGTCGATACCAAAATTACGTATGATGTTTCAAATGATTTGTTATTTCACTTACGTGTCCAACTCCTGGTTTGTGCAACAAAAAAGGAATGTTGTATTTTGTAGCAATAACCAGAGGATATTTATTGACTGTTCGACCAACTCCTAAAAATTTTGCATAACCATTTGCGGTATCACGTATCAAGTCATGATTTGGTTCACCACGTTTTAATGTTCCATAAAGAAAAACCCGATGTAATGGGCTTTTAAATAAATTTTCATACATTTTTCTGATGATTTTTTACCTTGTATTATTTATCATCTGAAACGTTGTATGTTAAATAACAAATTAATTGAATTACTGATTTATTATTGTCCTCTTTACAATCACAAGTAACACACCGTGAACCCATCCAAAATTGTTTAATGCTTGCAGTATTATAAGTAAACAATCATTTAATTATTCTTTACGATACGTACTTTTATATTTATATTATTGTAGTAGTATTTAAAGACATTTGACACGCATAACATTTGCTATGTTACTATTTTGTTTTATTGCGTACTTGAATACTTATCAAGAATAAATAATTACTCAACAGATTGCACAGCTGTTATCAGCCACTGTGAATTTTTGGCGGGCTAATTTGAACGATTGTGCTAATGTGAAATTAAAAACATTGTTGACTTTCCACTCAACTGGCTCAATTATTTTTTATTCTATCAATATAGTAAAGTGATGATCTCATTTGATTACACAAGTACTGATGTAGTTCTTTGCTACATAGAATATTTTGTATAAATCGCCCAACGTTAGAGTCAATATTATATAAATGGAAGCAATAATTTATGGAGAAGTAAATTATATAAATAGAGTATAAAAATACTAGTTATTTAATAATAAATATTTTTCAGAGTCATAATGTGCCAAAGTACGAAAATGGTATATGGAAAGGACCAAAAAAGATTTTTCCTGAAAGATACTATGAATACGGAGAAATACTTCTGACAACCATGAGAAAAAATTCAACTCTGATTGGACAAGTAAGTCATGAAGAAGATTGATATTAATTAAAAAATGAATATGACATTTAAAAGTTTCATCCCGCTTAGATTGACGCTATAACCGAAAAACATGATACTTTTGGAGATATGATTGATAGATGTATAAGATGTGCTTTGTGGATGAAAAAACAAAATATTAAGCCAGGTGATATTATTGGTATATCCACAGGCAATCATTTGAACTCTATTATTCCTGTCATCAGTTCATTGCTAATTGGATCAGTATTTAACCCATGGTGGGATACTGATGAAGAAGGTAAAGCTATTTCTATGCCACTAGAATTTTAATTAATGACAATGAAATAATAAATAGTTTTCCAGAGCTTATTCGACATTTCATTAATTTTGTGCAACCAAAAGCTATTTTTACTGCTGAAACAAATGTAAAACTTATTCAAAAAGTGATTAATGATGATCATATTGAATTGAAAGTTATTGTATTTGGAAAAGTAGAAGGTTTAGAATCGTTTGATGATATCTTGGCAGCACAAGATGATAAAGAAGTGGCCAATTTTGAATGTACAAAAATCAAACCTGATCAACCTGCTATGATTCTGTACACTTCTGGAACTACAGGAATTCCAAAAGGTGTTGTTATATCATATCAATCTATTGCACAATGTCAAGCTTTTGTTCCAAAAGAATGGATGGAAAATTCAACTGGAATGAATTTCTCATCAGTTGCATGGGTATCAGGAATAATTAATCCTCTTGCTGCAATACTATCGGGATCGAAACTTACTGTTTTTTATGGAATTTCTGAATCCGAGAGCTTTGAACTTATCAGTAAATACAAAGTTCGTGTTTTCAATTTGATAAAGAATGATTCAAGCATCTAAATGTTCAATTTCTTATTGATAAAATGAGTGTTTTTTTTTAGGTAAATTGGATAACTATGGGAACTGGAGTTGCAAATAGAATGTCAAGAGATCCTGTTTTTAAAAAACATGATTTTTCTTCTGTAAAATATATTTCTTTTGGTGGTGCACGAGTTAGAAAGAATGTCCTTGATTTTTTGGAACAAACTTTTTCAAATGCCTGGGTTCTTCATTGTTATGGTGCTCAGATAAATATATTCTTCATTAATAAAGTATATTTTTTTTATTACTTTATAAACATTGTTCAATATTTATTTCAGGTTCAACTGAAATGGGAAGTACTATAACCCTCACAGAACGAGTCCACCATGCAGAATCATGTGGCAAAGTAGTACCCAATGTTGAAATTAAAGTTATGAGTATAAATAAACATGAAAACAAAGTTCTCGGGGCAAATGAAGAAGGAGAGTTATATGTTAAGACCCCAACAATAATGCTATGTTATTTTAAAAATCCAGAAGCAACTGCAGCAGTACTTGATGCTGACGGTACATTTTAAAAACTATAAGACTCAATATAGATAAATATTTAGTTATTAAAATAAATAAAAGTATTTCATTATTTTCATAATAGGATGGTTTTGCACTGGGGATTTAGGATATTATAACGAAAGTGGAGAATTTTTCATTTCTGATAGAATCAGAGAATTAATTAAATATAGATTAGTGCACATACCTCCAGCTCCAATTGAAAATATGATACAAAATTACCCCGGAGTATGTGAAGTGGCTGTTGTAGGAAAACCAGACAATGATGATGTTGAGCAACCCATGGCTTTTATTGTAAAAACACCCGGAGTTAATGTAATTCTTTTTTTATTATGAAAAAACGAGTATAAGTGTAAAAATATTAAGAACAATTTTTTTTGTAGATAACAGAGGAAGAAATCATAGAATTTGTTGATAAAAATCTACCAGAGCGTTTTAAATTACGAGGAGGAGTTAAATTTATTGATGCTTTTCCTCGAACACCATCTCAAAAAATCGCTAAGAAAATTCTTCGTGAGATGGCTGCAAAAATGATTTCAAACTAAATTAAATACATCTATAATAATATAAATATCAAAGAATAATGCAAGAGTTTCATGAAATGAAATTTTATAAAATATTATATGCGTTTAAGTAAAAAAACAATCAGTGGAGTCATAAATTTTATCAGAAAAATATGTTATTCAAAGAAAAATTTATATAATAATATAATATAATTTATAATAATATAATATATAATAATAGTAATGACTATATTGAAGATATTTATTTGACTTTTTGAACCATTTGAATTTAATAAATCAACATTTGAAGTATTATTCATCTCCATTACGTCTATGTCCTTCTCTGATGTATCTATTGGATTTTTTTTCTCTGTAACTTCTTGTATTGTTTCTTTTTGTTTCAAGTCAGTTATATTAGTACTTGCAAATGATCGTTCCTGATCAATTTTTTCAGTGACAGTAGCTTGATAAATTTTTTTTTGAAATTTGCATCTTTTACTTAAGCCATGGAAATGAGATCTTGGAGTGTCTCTGGCTGTTGGAGACCAATATTTATGATGAGGAATACCCACTTTGAAAGTAGGTCTTTTAGAAATATTATTTTTTTTCGGTAATTTTATTTTAGATTTTTCTTTAAGGGGTTGTTTTTGTTCCTCGTCCACTTTTCGATTAACTGTATGTACAAATCCAAACCCTAACGGGAATAAAAATAGAAAATTACGTTCAATAAGAAAAAAAAATATAAAATATACTTTAAGACATAAGTCAGCTGTTTACTTACTATTCATAACACCATCAGTAACAGATGGTTGAGGATACAGGCTTTGCCGAAGTTTCTTACTACGGGGAAGATTACTGCGTAGATCTGTATTTTTCATATGACTTAAACCATTTATTTTATTGGGATTTTGTTGATTCATTTTTTACGATGTTTAATTATAAGATTGAATAAATGTACTCGTTATAATGTATTATTGCTTTTTTGTTAGATAAAAACTATTATCCTAGCAAAGAAATGCGTGTACACACCGGTATAAGCATTATCGAATAATAACAAAAGAAGGTTCAACTATTATACCACTACTAAATATTCTTCCGAACCTTCGTATTTTCTACTCTTGAGTTGGAATATTTATTAAAAATTTTATGATTCAAAATTTATAAACAAAAATCATGTCAACAATTTAATTTAAACAATGTAAAAAGTATTTTGACAAAACATAAAAAACTCAATTTTGAAATTTACTGATGTTCTTCTTTATAATTCTTCACATTCTATAATAATTGTATCTCATGAAATAAGATATTTTGATACTGTAGAATTTAATATACTTATGAAAACTGGTCCTCTTCAAATATTAAATTTTGTTTAGGAGAAATTGATTTATTCAAATTTGAACACGTGATTGCCATGAAACAATAAAATGTCGTTGATCGAGAAGATTCCTACTATTGTATTTTCACTTTAGAGCACCACCACCACTACTCAGACGCTACACCTATTTACACGGAAAGTCATTCGGATTTACCAAGCACAACATAACCTTACTGTTTAAACTACACAGTGTTTACAAAAAAATGACAGTTGAAACAAATAGTAACGATCAAGTGATTTTAGTAACAGGGGGTTATGATCATACAATTAAAGTATGGCAAGCACATACTGGAACATGTACACGAACACTTCAACACACAGCTTCTGTATCCTTTCAAAATTTATTTTTAAAACTATAAAAAAATTCAACATGCTTTTTAGTATTTGTTTATGATTTATTTTTATTAACTTATCATAATTTCGTATTTTCCTGAATGATCAACATTATAGCAAGTGAATGCTCTAGCAATTGCTCCAGATAAAAATCTTATAGCAGCAGCAGGGTACCAAAATATCTTTATGCATGATTTGGGTTCGAGTAACCCAAACTCCATTCTCAACTATGAAGGCGCACCGAAAAATGTGACAAGTTTAGGTTTTCAGGTAAGAAACTACAACCTCTAATTTTTTATCAATAATTTTAAAATAGAAAATATAAAATCTAATTAAAATTGTATGCGAAATAGGAAGACGGTAAATGGATGTACACAGGAAGTGAAGATTGTTTGACAAGGATATGGGACTTAAGGTAAACTGAATTTTTGCATCAAAACCTACCATTTTAATGTGCATAATAATATTAATGAAATACAATTATGCGAATTCTAGGTCTAGTTCATTCCAATGCCAACGAAGATATGAGGTATCTTCACCTGTCAACTGCGTTACTTTACATCCAAATCAATCAGAGCTGATTGTCGGTGATCAAAGTGGAGCAATTCATATATGGGATATACGTTCTAACCATAATAAACAATTGGTATAATATAAACACTTTTATCATTAATTTTATTTAATATTAATGCCGATATTTTACTATACAGATACCTGAGGCTGAAGCATCAATTCAAGATATTTCAATAGATGCAGATGGTTCTTACATGGCTGCCGTCAACAATAAAGGTAATTGTTACATTTGGGCACTCACTGGAGGTGTAGGTGAAGAACCAACCAAACCTTACCCACGACACAAACTTGCAGCACATAAACGATATGCATTGAAGTGTAAATTCAGTCCAGATTCTACGTAAGTGCTCATGAAATTATAAATTCTTTAAAAAGAGGAATTTAGAATAAAATGTTATTTTTGATATAGGCTTTTAGTTACAACATCAGCCGATCAAACAGCCAGAATATGGAAAACATCTGATTTTTCCGAAATGCAAGTTTTACAAGATGATTCAAAAAGATGGGTTTGGGATGCTGCTTTTAGTGCAGATTCACAATACGTTTTTACAGGTATAATATTTTATAATTGATAGAACGAATTTTTTTTTTTGATAAATATAACATAATAACTTATTCTTCCTTATTATTCATATAGCTAGTTCAGATGGTGTTGCACGGTTATGGAACGTAGCTAATGGCACGATTGAACGAGAATATCAAGGACATCAGAAAGCTCTCACTGCTTTAGCTTTTAAAGACCAAATTATTTCAAGTTAAAACTATTATTTATATTGTACATTATTTTAATGTTTAGTAAAAAATTACTTCCTAAAATCAAATGCCAGTATTGACATGTATTTGTTTCTTTTTTACGATAGTGAAAATTTTCATATTATTCTAATATATAACATCAAAGGTTATATAAATAAAAATTCCACAATTTATATTTTAATCTTTGTTTATTACATTTTGAAAGTTAATAACTTATTTAAGAGGTATAAAACGTGAAGAATGAGTAGCACCAATACCTGGTCTACCGTGTTTTACAGGTTTGTATGTGACAGAGAATTCTCCGAGATAATGTCCGATCATTTCAGGTTTAATTTCAACTTGATTAAATGTCTTTCCGTTGTAAACTCCAACAATAGATCCAACCATCTCTGGTACAATAATCATATTACGCAAATGAGTTTTGACAATTTCTGGTTTCTCATTTGGTGGTGCTTCTTTCTTAGCTTTTCGGAGTTTTTTCACTAATGCCATAGGCTTTCTCTTTAATCCATGTGAAAAACGTCTACGAGCCCGGGCATGCATCAACTCCATGAGTTGTTCACTGAAATGACAAGATTGTATCAATCAGTCAATAAAGGTTAGGTATTAATATAAGTAATCATTGATATTTACTTGGGCATGTCCAAGAGTTGATCTAAATCAACTCCCCGGAAAGTAAATTTCCTGAAGGTCCTCTTCTTCTTCAAAGTCTCGTCACCCTGTAATTTGAAAAACACAAGCTTGATAAATACTTTCCTTGTCAATAACAAATGTCATATTTGTAATCAGATAAGTAAAGAAATATTTCGCCTTTAATACGCATTAATATCAAAAAAATGTATATTTATCAATTTTAGATTTTTTTAATCATGGATTATCTTGTAATAAACGGATATTTTTAATTGAAAATAGCAATTTTACCTCTGCCATGGTTGTCCCTTAAATTTTTCGTACAAAAAGAAAAAGGTTAGAATGTAGCGAATGTAGCATAAATTGTATACGTATATCAGAGAGAAGTCTTCTCTCTGCGTATATATAAATATCTATAGTCAACGGAAACTACAGTAAATGCAATCACCACAAAAATTAATTCAGATAAATGGCCTGTAGGGAGCGTATTTTAATTTCGACAGATAATCGATAAAAAATGCAAAAAGTGTATTGAAATTTACATTTCAGTGAAATGACTCCCAAATTTATTCACAAATCAATTGTATTTAATAGAAATATTATTGATTTAAAGAAAATCAACGATTTTATGCATCGAGTAAAATGTGACATTTCATAAACAACGGTTATTTAACGTCTTGATTTTCCGTCCATTGTGTCCCGTCTGATTCATTGGTGTCTCTGTGTGTATGCGTGAAACAATCGTATTATTATTAAATTAAAGTTATATTTGTATAAAAAAGTGTAAATTTTTTTGACAGCCTATGAATCTTTAAAATAATTTCTTCAGTATAAATGAACAGAATGTGAATAATATAAATTAAATGAAAAAATTAAAATTTTTTTAATTAGTACATATGAGTTAGTGTGTTTACATATCATATATGCATATGTATAGATTGGCTTGCCAAAAAATTAACGTGTGGGAGAAACAAACAAGAAGCAATAAAAGTAATGAAGCCTCGCGGTTTGCGTATTGGATTTTTTGTCATTGCTGTAAAATATATGATAGTAAGCTACTTTTTATGGCGTTATTTTAAAGACTGAGTAATTGGAACTTGAAGAATTCTATAAACATGATCAAGGTGATTGGTGGAAAATTATATTCAGTGGCAATAAATTCAACGTAACAAAGATTATTTCGTAATAACAAAAAAAATTCGTCATTTATAAAAACAAAAGACTACTAATGCAGATTCAAGTTGTAAAATAGGATACAATATTTTACTTTGTAAGTTTACTTAATAATCAACTTAATTAATTTAATTGGTTGAAATTAATATTACATGTTAGGCTTAACACACAAATATAATTTAATTATTTAACAGTTGTATTGTAAAACCTGGCATATTGATTTTTTTATATTTAAACTAATCAGTTTTCAAATTAATTTCTTTGAGATAGTAATATACATTAATGGATAATTTTATCTTCTATTATTAGAAAATGGCTTGAGAAAAATATTAATGATAACACTCTAAGCCATCATTAGGTTATGTTTTTAACATGAATACAGTAACTCACAAAGAATAACGAATTTAAGAAGTAAATAATTATATTTCGGTAGAACAACTGCAACGCTGTTTAACTTATTCTACTGAGAAAGTAATGAAATACCAGCTAGACAAATAAAGTGATATCGTTCACAGTTCGTTTCAGTTGTAGTACGTGACTCACTGTGAAAACAAAAACAGTTTTATGATATTTAATAATTATGAACTTAATACTTTCATTTTTCAATTTGCCTGATTCTAGTGCCAACTGTATGAATCAATTACTCCTCTCACAGTGCTATGTAGATTAACAAGTGTATGAAAACAATAATGATGTACCAAGGAGGTGAGCAGACGGCATCTGAACCTTGGAGAAAGCCTTTAGATTTAATTACAACTATCAATCCTACTATTAATTCAACAATGGATGATGATGAACATTGGTGCAAACTAGCTTTGTACAAAGAAGTATCAAATTCTAAGTACGTAATCAATGTTTTAGTGTTCAATTAAATTTATAAAATCAAAAATTAAGTAATTAATACATTTTTTCAGTGTTAAGATATGGGATGTAGTAATATTAATTCCAAATCTTTTTTTCTTACTATTTATAATAGTGAGATGTAATCGTGCAAGACTCAAATTCAGGGCTACTAGTAGTCCAATATTTTTGGCTTTCTATGGACTAGTAATTTGTAATGTAATAATATCAGTGATAAGATGTGTAGTTTCTATGTTAGTAAATGCAGCTACCGACACAGGAAATACTGCTGATAAAGTATTGTGGGTGATAGTACGATTTTTCTTACTCTCTACTGAGATGAGTGTTGTTATATTCGGATTGGCGTTTGGTACGTTAAATATACATAAATAACATATTTTGTTTTTGTTAGTTTATTAATATACTTGTAATTGCTAACCAATTAATTATTTTATTATTAGGGCACTTAGATAGTCGATCAAGTATAAAAAGGGTACTTGCAGCTACGTCACTTATAGCTTTAATATTTACAATAACTCAAGGGACGTTGGAATTGGTTTTGCCAGATGATACTTTTCGCATTGTCAGCAGAGATTTTTATATATACGGTCATGGAGGCATGACTTTTTGGTTTTTCAGTAGTCTTGTTTTTACTTTAATATATGTTTTCATATTAATTCTGCCATGGACTAGATTACGAGATCGATTGAATTTGCCAAGTAAGAAATTCATATCAAATTTTTTTAAATATCTATAACGCTATAAAAATCAGATTTATTTTATCATTGAAAAAATTTGTTTATTTTTCAGCTAAAAAAAGTTTTTACATTTATATTGCTGCACTGGTCACACTCAATTTAGTGCAATCAATAGGAGCGGGATTGATAAACTACACACAAAGCTTGGCAGGGTTGTGTGTAGTTGATGTGACATCTGCAATATATCTTACTTTCTTTACGCCATTGGTCTACCATACTTTTTTGTCTGAATTTCTTGGGTAATTTTTTAAAAAAATTTATAGTTTTTTTCTAAAAGAAAAAACATTAATTCACCACATGTTTAACAAATATTTCAGTGTTTCTCAACCATCGATAAAGTTTTCCTATAAAGCACAAGTGGACGACACAATTGAAGAGGACACTGTATCATTACCTCACCAGCAAAGTTTCTCATCATTAAGAACTGACAGCGATTACCTTTATCAGGTCCATACTCCATCTATTTACATACCTTTGTATGAACCGCTCACCACCAATCCGTCTGCTTCGAAAGCCTTCTACTCTTTTTCTTCCAGGAAGGATCTTAAAAGTCTTGAAACCGATCAGTGTAGTACTCAAGGAACAGTGTATACTTCACCTGAGACCCAAAATATTATCCAAAAAGCCCCATTTCATTTTGTTAATTGTCTCAAGTTCGATATGACAGATGCTAGTAATCCTCACTATAATCCCCATGATGTAACATCTAACATAAATAATTCAATTGGTGAAAAAGCTTCTAGTATATTATCACCAGCTACAACAAATAATTACAACTACAAATCCAAGTCAAAAGATGATATCAATTTATTAGGAGAAACTCGTAGATTGAGTTTAGGAAATCAAATAGTTGTTTTTGATTCTTATAAGCAACCTGATACAGTTAATCAAAACATTGAAGAAAAATCAAAACTGATGAGTCAATCTGAAATAAATTTGAAAAGTCTCTCAAACAGTATCATTCCGCCTTTAGAAGTCCATTTAAATGATATTCTCAGTGATAAAGTTAATATTAATGCAATCAATACTTCAAATACTATATCGCCCAGAAATTTAAATATCAATGCTCCTGAAGATCGTGGTTTGAATAATTCTTTAGCTTCTCATAGCAGAGAATCTGTTGAAAGAAATAAAAATTCTGGAGGTCTCGGAGACTATTTACAGTCATTGAAATCATTTGAACATAGAAGTTCAGAAGAGACTCCACAAGAATCTACGTTTAAGTCAAGTTTTTATCAAAATGACAATAATTAAAAATTATTTAATATAGAAAATTCTGTATAGTATTTCAAATAATACGTATATAACTCGAAGAGTTTCTAATTTATTTGTTAATAAAAAAGTATTCTAAGAAATTTTTATAGTTGAAATAAATTATAAAAGTTATACATTTATATCTTTAAATCGCTTAAAAAGAAATTAATGTCGTCTTTGACGTTTATGTATGAGCTTTTAAATTATAATTTGTAAATATTAGCATGCCTAGAGGCTTTTATTAAAATGTTTAAAAACATTTTTATGCACTTGATTTTATTTATTTACATTTACATTGCAATTAATAATAATACTCAATTAAAATAGTTCATTATGACCCAATTTTCGAAACTCATTTTAAATCATTCATTAGTTACCATGTAAGTTCTAATGTACTTGTTTCCGCAATATCACTAGGCTCTCTTTCTGTGCGTATATTTTTAGCTACATAAATTAGCAGAGGTATAAACTATATATATTTTTTGCATCTCAATGTTGGCTTAACTTTTATTATCATGTTCTAGCATGTAAGAAGTGATACAGTTTAGTGGATATAATTATTGAGAAAGACAGTAATTTGATAATTAATTTTGTTTTAGATGCCATTACAATGCAACCAAAGAGAATATTTTATTTTTTCAGACCCACAGTGTTTATGATTCAACACAATTCGACACTCATGCAACACCAGTCAACCCGCTTTACGCGGCTTCCCTACAAAGTCCAGATAGTATCACTGGTTACAGTATAGGAAGTCAAGAGGAACATATCCATACCAATGGCTATCAGCGATGAATCCTATTCATTCATTCACGAAGACAATTCATTTTCAATTACACAACATTTACAATTGTATGCTATTTCAATATAAAATAGAGGAATACGATGAAGAATTATGGCACATTTTTTTGGAAATTTAAATATTATAAAGTTAAAAAAAAATTGAAAGGTAATTAAAAAATAATAATTGAAATAATATTACGAGAAAGATTAAAAAGAGCGATTAGGAACGAAAAATAATGGATTTGTTTCGCTCGAGTACTAAGGGAAGACTTATTTGTTTTAAACAAATCTTGTTTGACTAATTGAACTATCATTGGATTTTACGGGCAATTATTTGTCTGAAAAAAATCTATTTGGTAGTAAAAAATTGTATTCTCAGTGATTATATAGAGCTCTCTGTGGTTGTATCCAATTTTTAGTTTTTTTTTCAACTTGTCGATCGTATTCATAGGTTTGTATATAATGTACTATAACATTTCATCGATATTAATATATATATATATATTTTAATGCTATTTACTGTATACCGACAACCGATTCGTAACGATTTCATAGTACCGTATATTTAATAATATCGCCCTTATACGATAGAATTTTCATAAATTCAAGTCATCAAGTAACAAGTATAAAATATATACATATATCTACACATAGATTTTGAAAGATAAAACAAATAATAAAACGTTCCATCCAAGAAACATAAATTTAGATCATTTAAGAGCTTGAAGTTTATTGTTTTAACAATCTTTGTACGTTTTGGAATGCTTGCATTGAAATATATTTCGTAAACGACGATGAATAGATAAATCAAATTATAACAATAGTATTGAATGAAAAAGTTACGTATTTAGTATACTTATTGTAATATAGTCTAAATCACTTTTGTCCATACAAAGATGATTATGGAATGGCTATAATGTTGTGAAAAAATTGTCAATTTCAAAGTAGCAGTAAAAAATCTAGTAGCTTTAACTTGTTTATAAAGAGCTTGAAATAATTTTATTTTGTACTTTAATATTTATGTATGTATGTTGCTTCTTTTGTATAAGGCTCCAATTCGTTTGCATCTATGAGCGATTTTTTAAATTAGACTAAATGTAAAAAAGTAGCCTTATACAAAAGTAGAATAGTATTTTCAAATAACATACCAGTATGATCTTGATTTGTAAAAGTAAACCAAGTACGTGAAATTATTTGGAACAGCAAAGTGGTCGATGAGTTTTATATAATATTAAGTGAAGGTCAGGCTCATAGTTTTGTATCTTGAACTTGCATTCTTGCAAAGTAGAATTAAAACTTTCTTTAATGAAATACCATTTAACTTCTGTCATAATACTAAAAGTTGTACGATGTCTATATAATGGAAGTGATCGAAAGTTTTAATAATCTATATAATTTTTATAATTCAAACATACTTTACACATAAACGTCCAAACTGCCAAATAACTGTCGTTTTTCTTATATTCCATAAATATTGTTTTCGTTGATGAATTCAAAAATTTATTTTTCTTTAAGATAAACAGATTATTCTACCAATAACAAATATAAAGTTAATTTATTACAATTGATATAAAAATAAATTGATCATTATTTAAAGCTATATAACTCTTTAACATGACTTGAGTAAATGTACTAATTGGCTTTGCAATAGAAATCAGAACAAGATTTTTCCTGTTCCCTTATACTATTGTAATGAATCTACATTTTCGAAGAAAGATGAAAATTCCACATGCGAAGTACATTATGATCATGACTCAATAAAGACTCCAACGCTTCAGTTCCTATTAATCATTAAGAAGATGAAATCAATAAAAAACTTAGAGGAAAATAACTAGATTAACAGTAATCTATTATTTACTATCCTTGAATAATAATATAAACGAGAACTTACGATTGGTTGCAATATATTCATTAATGGGATCTTTAATGGCAACTGTAGGTATTGCCATATTTAACCTCGGGTATAGAGTACTGGATGTAATGACATTACAGACAATTATACCCAACAATTCACCAGTGGTAGGTCTAATAATGGGTCCACCACTGGCGCCACTTTGAACACAGCAAGTGGTTTGTAACATGTATGAAGATACACTAGAAATATTACCCTGAGTAATAGTTGGTAATCGTGAAGATATAAATGGAAAACCAGCACTAATAACTTTTTCACCTGAAAGAAAAAAGTCATATTACTTGCAATTACTTAAAATAAATATCATCGAAGCAAATACATAGACATGATATTGAATTATTACCTCGTATAGCTAAACTGTCTCCTAATTTTAAAGGTCTCAATTTGTTGTTAATATCTAATGGATTTACTTTTAAGATAGCAATATCATATGGTAAATTTTTTGATGTTCGATAAATTAATTGTGCTGGTTTGTTGAAATCAGACAATTGATGACTTTCATTTTCATTGTGGAAAATAACTTCAATTTGATGATACATAGCCTGAATGTTCCAGATAATAATAGCTTTTAAATGATAAATAAATGATAATATTTCATGTATGAAATATTTTAATAAATCACCTCGCTAACCACATGCGAGCATGTTAAAATCGTGCCAGTTTCACGATCCACAAGAGTACCAGTTCCCCAGTTTACCCCACAACGTACAAGTACTACACTTTCGTCTAATGAACCTAATGGGAAAATGCATATTAACAATCGGGAAGAGATTATAAAAATTTAACATAAATAGATATTTCAACTTTCATTTGATTTATTCTTACTGGTGAAATCAAGGTTCTCATCAGTTGCTGTTATATCAACTTTAATTTCCTGTTTCTTCAGTAATTTTCTTAGGCAAGGTAAAAAACATGCGACGAGTGTATAATTCACCCACTCATTGCGGCACCAACTCAACGGAGCAATCACCATTCCACATAACAGTTGACTTCCACTAATAAGATGAAACGATATACGTCATTAGTTGCTATTCATTCAAGAAATGTGCTGTGTATTCTTATATTGTTTATGTATTACTCTTTTTGCACAACATAAACAGGCCCTCCTTCACATCCTGGTACTGTATTTGCGTCTGTCAGCATAACACATTTGTTTATACCCAAGATATTACTTACAATTCCCTGTGAAATAGAATTAATAAATACGGAATTTCCAAATGGCGTCGATTCAATGTTTATTACAGCCCCTCTCTTAAGACTTTTCTTGTGAATGTGATTATTAATAAAATGACTCAAGATCTTTCGAATACGTTGATCAAAGTCATATTCACTTGCTTTATTTATTTCTTTATTATCAAGACATATAACTAAAAATACTGATGATAGTATTTTATTTATTTCTTCAAAATCTTTTCCAAATTTCCAGGAAAAAAAAGTATTTGCAAATGTATCAATGAGTAATGGACAACGCCAAGTAGCTAATACAATACCGTTGGCTTGTTTTATTTCTTCATTAGCTTGTTCTGTCATTTTTCCATTTGCAGAAAATTGCACTCGAACTCGTAAATTATCTGCTTCATTTGATAGAATTGACAGTTTACCCGGTACTAAATTTGATATTAAATCCAGAAGTTTCTTATCACTTGTCATTTTTAACCTCAATAAAGTACCATGTGTGAGAATCCAATTTTTTGAAATGCTTATTCCGGAAGTCCCTAATCCTTCATTCACGCCCTCATCTAAGAATGATATTGAGACGTTTGAAGTCATATTTTTTTCTTTATACTCTGGAAAAAATATAATCATAAGTATTTGATACCAATTTTAATCACTGGAAGATATGTGTATCTTGACAATAAATTTGAGAATAGAAATAATTAATCGATATAAAATTACTCTAGTAACAAATTGATACACAACACTTAAATCAATCGAAATAAGAAATATAAAGGCTAATACCAAGAAAATACAGAAGTTATAATCGACCTTTACGAGTCTTGACTTTATTTCTAACCTAACTTTTATTATCTAAATTACTGTAGATGACGCAAATGCACTGGCAAAATAATATTGCAAGAATCAACATTTTAATAATCTTGATTACAATATTTAAACATGTTTATAAAGTTTAACAAATAAACTTGAAAATAAATGTTAAATCGGTATTGTGAATTCTTGTACAATCAATGTGTAAACTTTCTATTCTATCAGCTTCGTGGTCATCAGATTATGAAGTAGCGTACAAACATTGCATTACAGACTGACTGGCATGAAGTTTCTTGGAAATTATACTATATGAGATAAATCTAATCAGTCTCTACGTAATTATATGACTCAGCGTATATGTCACGTGAGAAAATGGGTAAATTGAGCATTAACAAAGAACAGCATCATCAAAGAAGAAGATGAAAGAGTACAAAAATTAAAAGATCACTGACGTAGCCGAATGATTAGCAAATTCTATTTTTGCATTGAATTTCAAATAACAAGATTATTTTTATTATCAATACTTACTATTTTATAATCATATCAGGTAAGATTAGTTATTTCCCATACTTTTTTATCAGGGCTTGCTAATTATGAGAAAAATTATAACTTCCATACTAATAAATTTCTTTTATACTGAGGTACATAAAATAAGACTATTTTTTCATTCTTTTTATAAAATTTATTTATTGAACATTGTAATTAACAATTAAGTTTTCGTTATTTATTTTTAAAAAATCTTATTTTCATTACTGCTCCAAAACTTTTTAAAATGAACAAATTACATATTATACATTATAAATTATTAAAATTCTCTTACTTTGATGATAAAAAAAGCACATATTCATATGAAAACAAACCTCATTTAATTCAGGCTTTTTTCATATTTTAAAATTTTAAAAAACTTCAAAAAATAAATTTCAAGCCAAAGGTTGTTTTCATATCTTATTTATAAATAAATCCATTGACTTATGATATGCCATGTTAATACAATGAAGAAAACAATAAAGATCTATGATTTATCAGGACTATTGGGCTACAAGTCCTGTCTAACATCTTTACATTTTCCTTTGCAAATTTACCGCTAGCTCCGATTCAACTTGAAGTGAAATTCACTTCTACAATTAGAAAATGAGTTCAAACTCTTATTTTATCTAGTATAGAAAAGTGTTCTATTGAAATCAAAACAGTAAACTACTTTTATTTATCAGAAAGATCTCATTCTCAAAGTTTTTTAAAATATTCTAACATCTAAATTTCTTTAGTACTTCCGGTTGTAGTAGCAGTAGTAGTAACAGTAGTAGTTATAGTAACACTAACAGCAACAGTAGTAATAGTCGTAGGAGTAGAAGTAGTAGTAATAAAACCTTTCGCTGCTAGATTTAGTCATTGATACTCTAAAACACTTTGCTGAAAGTCATTCAACTTTTCGGAGCAAATTTTACTTCTATCAAAAAAACTAAACTCATAAATTATTTGATACGTTTAACCTTATTATTTATATTGAAAAATGCTACAAATGAGTATTGAAAGATAAAACGAACTGCTTGCCAAACGTAAAATTATTTTAAAAAATTACTTTAAATGAATCTTCTGGACATATTTTTTGAATCCTATATTCAATACTCTTCTTAAATTACTTTCTTAATAACCGTAGAGAGATTGTATTTCATTCTGTTGTTGACGCCCAAATTAAAATTCGACTTCCTGACTTTTAGCACCCATAACTCACAAAATAAATGGCCATATAACTTTAAAAAAAATATCTCTAAAGAGTTGTAAAAACTGTCAACTTGATCTCTATGCTTTTCAAATGGAGTTTATTTTATTTTTGAGTTAATTAATTTCATTTATAAATTTTTTTAAGAATTACTTTTTTCATCTATTTCATTTTTGATCGTCTCGAATATGTTAAATAAAAAATTTGTTTTATTTTTATCATTGAATTTATTGAATTTTTTTTATAGAATATATAAAAGATTTTTCATAAAGCATATTACACGCGTACATGAGTATACTAGAGAAGAAATTATAGAATCAGTGAGCTGTGAATAATGTTGTTCAGAATTTTTACTTCAAAATCAATAGTATTACTTTCTTCTCATTTTACATAATAATTTTTAATAACCAACATTTCTATATTGAAACGTAAAAATGATAATTTTTTAGAATTTAATTGACCATTGAAATAAAAACTCTTTTTTTTTAAGGAAAAAATTGAAATATAAACGTCAAAAGATGGAAAATAATTAAATACACACTCTAGTAAACATTGGTCTAGATTTTGCCTATACAATCTCTTTGGTATAGAAATAGTAGTAGACCGCATGGCACCTTCCTTACAATACAAGAACTTGTTTTACCTGGTGTAGAGAGTAGAATGCAGTCAGGCCAAGGTAAAGACTCGATTACACACAACTTCTTTCTCTCACTTTACTTAATACAGGTCTTAGATTGAAGAGGTTCATGATAACCGATTTTATTATCTTAGGCAATGTTTTTTATTTAATTATTAAAACAGAATCTAATGGTTTTAATGGAACAGTTATGTTGGAGAGTAGAAAAAGAAATACTGTTGAAAATCTTATAATTTAAGTATCTATTTTAATGATTGAAATAAATTAACATTATGAAATAATAGTAATGCTAAATATAATAAATATTTATAAAAATATTATCTCCAAAAATTAATATAAAAATTTAAATACAATTTCTATTTGATTACTTTTAAAAAAGTTTTAAAAATTTATTGAATTTACTATGAGATAAACTCATTTTAAATTTGAGACAATGACACATTACTTTTACTGGTGAAGTCAAATCAGTAGTAAAAGAATAGTTATGTCAGACTGAACGGGAAAATGCAGATAGGTGAGGATATCAATGAAAAAAATGGCTGTAATAACAAAAATACGGAAGACGGGAATTGAAAAAAATTATCATTATGTATATTATATGAGTAATTCCGTATCTAATAAATAAAACATCTTACAAGTATTGCTAAAAATAATTATTATTTTAGTAGCAATTAATAACAGGATAAAAAAGAAACTTATGATACCAAGAAAGTTTTATTAGAATTCAAGAGAAAATAATTAAATGAATGAGACCGTAAAAGTGTATCTTATATTCAAAGTATTGTGAATAAAGTAAATACTACAAGTATTGTACAATGAAACTGAGATCAAGTGAGGGTACGAGATTGTAAAATAAACCTCACAAAAGTATATAAGTGAAGAGAGACTAGACAGCGTGGCTGCAGTATTCATACGTTCGCATAAATGAAAGTGTTTTTCAACTGGTTGCAGCAACTATTAGTTGTAATAATTATAGTAACATGCTCAGCGTATTCCATATTTGAATACTATACACGGAAATTCATCAAATTCTCAATTGGAATAATAAGTTTAACAGGAAGAAATGAAAGAAAAAGTAAATAAATATTTTATTATGTAGAATATATTTGTAACAATATTAAACAATGAAAAAAGTACAGATTCATAATCTACATAAAAACCAGCATACATATTGGATGAATGTGAGTGTATGAATGCCATTCAATTTTCTCAATACCCTTTAGAGTTACACACTATGAGCATTAATGAAATATTTTCACTCAATATTGTATTATTAATAAATCCAAAGAATTTCATTTAGAAGGCTTCATTTATTTATTTAAAAAAATGATTATTAAAATCTTTTACAATCATTTAAAGTTAAAATGATGTATTTGTTCGCAGAATCATAAGTAATTGGCTTGATCTGAATGCGTAATGCCAACATCTAGTTCAAGAAGATTAATGTATAAATAATAACTTTTATTATTAATTGCATAATTATATACTTATGGAAGATATGCAAAAATAATAATTATGAATAATTTATAGTATTTATGGATAATTAAGGAGAAAGTGAATGATAAATTCCAGATTTTTCTCAACGTATAGCAATCATTTAGTTGGTTAATATTGCTAGCTTTGTTAGTTCTATTGGTCTATTATGTTGAACAAATATCATCAACTTCATAATAATAAATTTTTATTGATTTCCATCTGTATTGTTGAAATAAATTGACAATATTCATTTGTAAAACTAGGACAAGTAAATGGTGTAACATAAATATTATTGGTATTGTCTGAATCCCTACTTAGCGATAATTTATGGCATTTGGTAATACTGTGAGATTTTTATCAACTAATCTCAATTGATTTAAACACAATGAAATTATTCTATAAAATTAGTACGAAATCAATTAATTGAAGTTTCTTTTAATGGAGTGAGTCATTTTTAATAATGTTCTCTGGTAAATTGTTTAAAGAATTATGACAAACAAGGAAGTTTATTATAAGTGATTAAATTGAGAGACCATAGTCAGTTGTGATAAATATAGTGCTTTCGTCATTATTAAAAAATTTAAACTCTTCATTTGGTTAACATATTGTGTAAACGCAGTCAAAAATCTCACACGTCAATGGCTTTGATTGCATTTGACAGTTCAGGATTTGAAAACTTGAAATGCTTTCTCTCAGAAGTAAGAGCGATGTACCTGGAAAAAGCGCGTAATCGTCTAAATTTGTCACCAGAAATGAATGAGTCATTTGAAAAGAGATAAAAAAACATTTCCATAAATCACTACCATGTTAAAAGTATAAATCATGATAGTAAGGTTGTGCAGGTAGAAAAGTAATAGAAAAAATGATACAAAAGAATATTAATAATTAGATGATGGGAAATAGTTGGAAGTTGAAAGAAATATTTTCTACATTATATTTTAATGGGTATTATTTGTTATTTTTAGTTCATGACTAACTTTTAAAAAAAATTATTAAATATGAAATTTATTAATTTCTTTTTTTCTACAAAATTATTTTCTACATGTTTCTGAAGATATCTTATTGAATTGAATAGTGATGCTTAAATTTCAGTGCTCTTTAGCAATTAGTTTGATATCAAATAATTTTTTTACGGTTTCTATATTAATGCAAAGAGAAATGATCATCTCTAGTTGATCACACATCACCCACGCAATACAAAATATAGAATAAGACGTAAAAAATTATAACATACGGTACAAATTACAAGGAAAATTGCGTATCTATTTGTGGAACGTTCCTGAACGAGTGTCATTACAATTGGATCGTAGATTGAGAAGGTGGAGTTATGTTTGTAATATAGACTAGATAGGACAGGAGCAAAAAAGAGAACACGTGGAATAAAGAAGAGACATGTACATAAGTTGAGAGGGGTCGACATCGAAGTACT